TGCCCGCACCGCCTCCGGTTGAACTGAAAACTACAGAGCCCACCACCGCAAAGGTCACTACACCAAGCGCGGCCCAGACCATCGTTCCCACTGCCGAGCCGCCTACAGACCCGTTGGCCAAGGAAATTCCGGACAGCCAGGAGTCTCAGGCTCCTGAAAAGATGGATGTGGATGAACCAGCCGTGGACCAGTCTGGGGAAAAACCTTCCGTCGAGGTACAAGAGGCACCTGTTGGGCCCAATCATACAGAGACGCAGACACCTCAAGCTTCAAACCAGGCTCCACAGACGCCGCAGGATCCAGAGCGAGCGGTTACTCGAACAGCTTCTGGCATAATAAGACAGAAGTCGGTGGCCGAAATATTAGGAGAGACACACCCAGAGACTCAAGTGACTACCAAAATGCCAGCAAGTCAACTCACACCTCTTACCTCCACGCCTCAGTCTCCGCCCTCGAGGCCAAAGACATTTGCCAACAAAAAGAAGGACAAGCAAAAGGCAAGAAACAAGCCTTCTGAAGTCGTGTTTGGTAAGCAGACCAAACGATCAGCAGACAAGTCTTTGGTGCCTAGCCAGCAGAAGCAAAGTTTCCTGCCGACAGACGACTACTTTACACCACTCTTTGTGCAAGGTTTTACGCAAACATCAAAGTGGATGAAGCCGATAGAGGTCATCCTCAACCAGTCTCACAAAACGGTTTCCACCCCAGATGCCTACGTCGCCATACAAGACAATCAGGCATGTCGAGTGCTTCGTCGTGTGTATCACCTGCAGCAGCACGACAAATGGTCATTGCGACAGCCAAAGAGGTGTCCGGAGCCTATCCGCCCCGAATCTCATTTGGATGTGCTGCTTCAAGAGATGAAATGGATGAGAACAGATTTCCGGGAAGAAAAGAAATGGAAACTTGCTGCTGCTCGGAATCTCGCGCACGCCTGCGCCGAATGGGTTGCTTCAAGTGAGGAAGAACGCAAGGAGCTCCAAGTTCCCGCGTACATTCCGCCCAAGGAGCAGCCAGTCGAGCTCGAGACTGAAGGTGATGCCTCCATGGCCGATATCTCGTTGGATGTGATCGATGCACACGCAACTCCCGAGCTGATACCTTCAGGTGACCTGGATTCACCCGAACACGTCGACGAGTTACGAGAGGAGGTTCTCGAGACTGTAGCACCGTCTGCAATCTTTGCTCTCGAAGATGACGACGTTGTTTTTGAGCTTCGGAGTTCACCGACCGCGGACCAGCTGCTTCAGGAGCTTCCAATGTACGGAACACCACTCAAGATCCCGGCGTTTGATTTCACTGTTCCCGAATTCGACCCCGATGCGCACTGGCGTCGCCCTGCTCTTCCTCTGAGCAAGTATGTGGAAGGCGAGATGAAGCTTTCTTCGGACGGACCCCCGAGAAAGAGGAGTCGATACCAGTATGAAGAGGAAGAGGAGGATGATGACGAAAAGGTCGTGTTCGGATCCCAGCCCGCAAAGAGGATGAAGCTGCCACCGCAGAATGCTGATGTGGCCCTGTTCAACCCCGAAATGAAGCCGATCAGAGACCGTCTCCACGCCGGCCATCAGTTCCGCCCGCCGGCGGAATACCAGATGCCCATGCAAAGCTTTTACGAATGCCGCAGCCCCTCGCAATGGACTTTGGCAGAGGATGACGAGCTGCGAAGCCTGGTTCGCGAGTATTCATACAACTGGTCGCTCATCTCCAGCCTTCTCACGCCTAGATCCGTGTTCACATCCGGAGCTGAACGGAGAACGCCTTGGGAGTGCTTCGAGCGTTGGATCAACCTGGAAGGCCTTCCGACGGACATGCAGAAAACGCAGTACTTCAAGGCATATCAGAATAGGATTGATGCTGCCAACCGTGTCATCTTGCAGCAGAACCAGATCGCGCAGCAACAAGCTGCCGGCCAGGCGGCGGCGCCGACAACGCCGGTCCCAAGACGCAGACCGTCAACGCCGCTCAGGGTTGAGCGACGACGCAATCAGAAGCATCTTACGCTGATTGACGCTATGAGGAAGCTGGCCAAGAAGCGCGAGACTGCGGCCCAGAAGCAGCAACATGCCACCCAGATGGCAGCCATGCGAAAGGCTAACGAGGCCGCGCAGCCCAGAGGACCCACCAAGACACCTAGGGATTACAGCTTGATGAGGTGGGAGCGCGACCAGCAACTTGCCGAGAAGGTAGCCCAGTTCCATCAGCGCCAGGAGGCTCAGAGACGCATCACCATGCAACAGCGAGGCCAGGTCGCCGCCCAGATCGCTGCGACACCCGCCGCAGGCCAAGTACCAGCAGGCGTCGCGGGTCAAGTCAACGGCAACATGGCTCGTCCCAACATGCCTAATCAGCTCGCTGTTCCGGGCCAAGCAGGCCGAGGTCGCATGCCCATGCAGGCTCCGACCGCCAATATGGGCGGGGTTCCTGCTCAGATGAGTGGCCTCGTGCCTCCCATCCCAATGAACGGGGGTGCTCAGATGCAGGCGGCCCTGCAAGCTCAGCATAGGATGCCGATGCCCAACCCTCAGCCTGATGTTAATCTCATGATGCAAGCGCGGCGTATCTCAGAGCAGCAGCGACAGGCTGTTCAGCTACAACAAGCTCAACAGCAAGTTCAGCAACAGGTCCATCAACAGCAGCCGCAGCCGCAACATCAGCAGGCCCAACAGCAGCAACAGCAACAGCAACCGTCTCAGCAGCAGCAGCAACAACAGCAAATGCACCAGGGAACACCGACGTCTCATGCGTCTCAGTCTCACTCTCCGCCAAACATGCGGCCCGCGTCAGTTAACGGCGTCAATGGTGTCAACGGTGTCAATGGTGTGAACCAGCAGAGTTTCATCGCCAATGCCCAGGCCAATGCCCAAGCCATGATGGCATTCAACGCTGCTAATGGTGGCGGGGTAGCTACGTCTCCTGCTGGTGGTCTCCATATGCCCAACGGCACTTCAGGCTCACCGCGCCCCCTCACACAAGTGCCGCCCGGCATTCAGCAACAGCTTAGCAACCTGGAAAACCAATATCGGCTCAAGAACCCGACCTGGACACCTGAGCTCGTGCGCCAACATGCTACAGAACATCTTACTCGCTTGATGATTCATCAAAGGACGACCATGTCGCAAAATGCCATGAATGCGGCTGCTGGCGGTGGAGGTGCCTCGTCTCCGGGTATTGCCAACGGCATCGCTGCCACGACCAGCCCGCACCAGTATGCTGCTCTTCTAAGACAGCAGCAGCAACAGCAACAAGCGGCAGCAGCGGCACAGAATGGTCAGGCTCAGAATGGGCAACACCAGCAAGCTCACCAACAGCACCATGGCCAGCAACAGGCACAGCAACATCATCAGCAGCAGAATGGTCAACAGCAACACGTGCAGCCTCAACACACACAACACCAGCAGCATCAAGCACGGCCTCAGTCCGCACAGCCTCAGCACACGCCGCAGCCTCAGCAGTCTCAGCAGGTTCCAAAGCAGCCTCACACGCCGCAACAGGCACAGCAGGCTCAGCAGATTCAACGGCCCCAGTCAGCTCAATCGGCCCAGGCTCTCCACGCCGCACAGTTGCTCCAGGCCCAGAAGCTCCAGCAAGCTCAAAAGGCCCAGCAGGCTCAACTTGCGCAGCAAGCTCAGAAGCAACAGCAGCCGCAGCAACAGGCCCGACAGTCGCCACAGGTCCAACAGGCCCAGAAGGCGCAGCAATCGCCGCAAGTTCAGCAGGCTCAAAGAGCGCAGCAGTCGCCGCAGGTCCAGCAGGCTCAAAGGGTGCAACAATCACCCCAGGTCCAGCAGGCACCAAAGCCACAGCCATCCCCTCAGGTTCAGCAGGCCCAACAGCTTCATCAAGCACAGAAATCACCACAGGTTACCCAGCAGGCTCAGCCGCCTCAGCCCTCCCAGCAGGCTCAACAGGCCCAACAGGCTCAACAGCAGGCACAGCAGAAGGCTCATCAGCAAGTTCAGCAACAAGTCCAGCAGCAGGCCCAGCAGCAGGCACAGCAGCAGGCTCAACAGCAGGCACAGCAGACTCAGACCCAACAGCCGCAGGCTCAGCAAGCTCAACAGCAGCAGCAACAGGCTCAGCAAGCCCAGCAAGCTCAGCAACAGCGCCAAGCCAGTGGAAGCGCTACACCATCTGCTACGCCCGCGCCATGATGGGGAACAAGGGGCGTATTCACGGTCACATGAACGACATTAAAATCACTATGCCAACGACATGAAGGTCTATCGAGAGTAGGAATACCAACCGCCAAGGACGTGGCGGGAGGACAGGCATTGAATCACCATGCCAAAGGAGGCGTCGCGGAGGTCGCGGATGGACTTGCCCCGTGGGAGAAGAAGGGCACACACATCCTGCGTAGTCGTCGCACCGCTCGCTGGCCCCCTTAGTTTCTTTGGAAACTGTGGGTTCGTTTTGTCTCTTTCTTACCTGTTTCTCGCTATGAGTAGACGACGGCGTTACTGATTAGACGAGGGTTGGGCGGGGAAACACGAGGGGGGCCAAAGCGAGTGGTTTTTTTTGCGAGCAGACGAAAAAGAAAACAACACCTTGTACATAGAAAGAGAACACACCATCCCACAATTGTGAGAGATTCTCGGCTTGGTTCTTCTTCCATTTCCCCCCCTTTAACCCCAAAGACGAGAACGAAAGCAACTTGGTACGGAAAACTAGGTTGTATATAACCACTTTGTAATGCCGAAGACGAGAGAAAAGAAGAGGTGGCGGCGGCGGCGGCAGCAGCCAAGGGGATGATGGGACGAGGACTCATCTTACCTTTGCAATTTCTAGAGAGAGGGAAAAAGGGAGCGAGCATTCGGCTGCCGACGAAAAAGGCACAAGATGCAAATGAAAGAATCAAGAAAGTTTCAACAAAGATACCTCCTCCACTTCATATCCCGTTCGTGTTAAATACTGTGGATTCAGACTCGAGTGCAGCCATCACCCATTTCGCATCGACAATGTGCAAGTAAGGTTTCACTCTTTTCATCTCATCAAAGTTTTGCCAGTTGAAATTTCTCATGGCCGCAAGCTACCTGCGGCCAAGCTCTCTATAAAATTATGCGCCCAAAACGCCCGTTTGAATGCGACTATACACTTCCTGGCCTCGCCTCGGAGTGCGTGTGTGCGTGCGATACATGACCACGTGTCTAACAGCAACAGAAAATATAAAACCCAGCAAGCCCGCCCTTCCCTTCCCTTAATGACATGTACAGAGAAAGAAATGACTATGGAAACGAAAGCCACACGCCATTAACCGACGGACCACTAGGCCTAGACCGCACCCGGCCCGGAGCCAGAGCCATTGCCGCGGGTGTTGCCGTCGAGCAGTAACGTCGGCTTGATGTAATCCTCGTCCAGCTGCCTGAACAGACCCGCCGCGTCCTCGGCCCCGTGGCTAAAGAGCTGTCTGATGGCAGTCGTCGCTGAAACATGGTGAGGCGCCACCGAAGTTCCGGCGGCAGGCTCGGTCTGCGCAAGGAGACCACCGGCAGAAGACCCGGTCGCCTGCGAGGCTCCAGGCGTGACCATCGGGCTTGTGCGGCGCGGGTCCCGACGGGCTGGGGGCGGGAGGTCCGACGTGTCGATATCGCTCCCTAGGTCCGAGTCCGTCGTGTTGCCGCTCCGTCCCAGCAGATCAGACCTCTCGATCTCAGAGTTCTTGCGACTGAGACTCGATTGTCTCTTGACCGGGTTCGGTGAGTGCGAGCCCGAGACATAGCTGCTGCGTTCTGATCCCACCGTTGGCCGAGCGCCGTTGCGCGAGGAGATGTTGTCCAGCGACAGGCTGCCGTTCCGCCTAGGATTATATCCGATGCCGGTGCTATTGCGCTTAACATATTGTCCGCCGTTAAACGACTCAATGTCGAATTCGTCGTCACTGTCAATTTCATCGACGACCCCGGTGCGGATTCCTTGGATCTCCAGCATACGTGCCGTCGTGCCGCCAAAGATGATGACCGTTAGCACCACAACCACTAGGACGGTGGCTTTGAGCGCGTAAGAGTTTTCGCCAGTAAGAAGTGCAGCAAGAGCGACACCGACAGCTCCACGCAAACCAGCCCAGAAAAGCATCGCCTGATAGTTGTAGGGCAACTCATCGCTCACCTCTCCTCCGCCCCTTCGGCGAGCCCTGTAGCGAATGACCCAATTGATGAGGCGAGATAGGGGGAATACCGCTACCCAGCGAGCAGCGCAAACAGCGCAAACAGTAATGATGATCAGCAGCGGTCGGAACTGCAGCGCATTATCTGTGAACAGCGCTAGACCGAGATAAATGAAGATGAAGTTCTCTGACAGCTGCGCAAGGATCTGGAAGATGAACTTGGTCGTAAGCTGGGTCCGACGGGACATGTTGAAATAAGCGTAATGTTTTAGCGTTATACCGCAGAATAGCAATGAGACAATGCCTGGAATATTATTAGCGATATGTTGATGCAAGGCAGGGAACTATTGAAGATCTTACCAGACATGTGGATGCCATGCGAGAAGAAGTAGGTAGCATACGCGATCAATACAACCAGACAACTCTCGTTCTTGGGGTATCGTCGAATGTAGGTGAGTTTCAAAAGCAATGCCGTCATAACTCCAACGAGCACACCAATCAACAAGCTTCCAAAGAAGACGATCAAGAAGATGCCGATACCCTCGAAGAAGCTCAAAACGCCGAGCTTGGAGGCATCGCCTTTCTTGTACTTTTGCGCCGTCTCGAATATAACAATAGCAATGGCGTCGTTGAGGATCGATTCGCCAAAGATGATGGTATACAACTTGGGGTCCACCTTGTATGAGTTGAAGATGGCCAAGATGGTGACGGGATCGGTGGCCGACAGGGTCGCGCCCACAGAGATGGCGTCGACGAAGGACATGCTTATGGACTCGACTCCGGTCAACGCATAGAGCCATAGAATGAGGCCGATGACGACAGCTGAAAGAAAGGTTCCGGCGAAAGCGAACGTCAGGATGGTACCCATATTCCTAAAGAAATTGGCCTGATGTAATTCGTAACCGGAGGCGAGGATGATCGGTGGTAGTAGTAGGTTGAAGAAGATTTGGTAGTCGAAGCTAATGAGGTTTCGGATCGAATCGCCAGAGGTCACGAGCAAGAGCAGCCCCACGGTCATTCCTACGGCATGCGTTAAAAGCCATCGCGTACTTAGTTCATAGGCGACGGAGACGAACCTGCAAAGATTGAGATGACCGTCTCGTGGACGGCCTCGATCTTCCGCTCTTGGAGGAAGTAGCTCGTCAAGAAGGCTGTGATGAGTAGCATGATGGAAATGAATAGCGCCCATGCGGCGAAGATCTCCTTCTGTGAGCCATCGGAGCCTGGATGATTTTGCGGTCAGTCGCAATGGTCGGGAGCGCAAAAGCTGAAGGGAATCTGGTTGATAGCTTACCTTCAGGGTCGCCCTCTTCGGTGGCACGTTCTGGCAAAACAAGGTCAGCTTACGCAGCCTCGAGGCCTGCGAGAGGCAGAGTGTCAACATGCAACATACGGACAAGGCGCAAGGCCGTTCCCGCAATATCCGTCGCGGATATCATATCGTAATGGCGGTTTCGCGACGATGTGGTTGTTTATGGGTTGGTGACGGAGTAGGATCCAGAATCGAGAGGAAAGCTGGGCGACCGGCGGCTCGCGGGTGAGCTCCGAGATGGGCGGATGGCGATCATCAACAGGGCAGCTCGTCGTCGTGCGCCGCAGGGTTGTGAGCTGACGACGAGAGTCTCTAGGTCGGTAGCTCTTTTCGAGATGTCGCCAAGTTTGAATGCCAATGGGGTCGAAGGACAGACAGACTTTAGCAAAAGGCCAGTTCTGATGTAAGGTTCGTAGAGGTGTCCACTAGAGGTACAGACAGATGCAGCGCAGGTTGACAAGCAGGACGGGACGGGAGCCAGCCACTGGTCGGAGGCTGCAACAATGCGCAATGGCAGGAAGTGGCTCTGGAGCGATGCGGTGATTGGATGGGTGCTGTTTGACGGGCGGTTTTGCTTGCGTAGCCTCGGCGGGGTGGTAGAGTTACAATCAAAAGCGGGCGCGTGTCACTAGCTGATGGCGGAAAACGCAGCGCCAAGCGCAGATCCTAAAGTACCGGGTACTGCGGGCCCAGACGCTGTTAGCCTATATCCGTACGGGTAGTGTAAGGCAGGGTATAAGGTAAGGTATGGTTGCTCGGGGCCGAACCCGGTGAGACGGAGTGGTGGACACGTCGAGGATTGAGCACCTTACCTTAGGTAGGCCACTTGAATTCCGATAAGACTGAGTGTCCCGTTTGTGTCAAAATGTGACTGTTATTCTACTTCGTCTCTTGTACTGCATGAATAGTTGCTGTAGTGCATATCATACCTTGATGCATAGTGAACGTCGGCAGGAAGGAGTCCAGTCCACCTCATGCAATGGAAATGGCAGGAAGATTGGGCCGAGCTTGGCCGCTGCCTGCAGGAAGCATGACTTCATTTGACACGGCACGTGCTCGTGAGGACCAGTTGAGGTCGAGGATGAGGTGCCCCATCATGGGTCGGGATTCTAGAACTCGGGCAATTACTGGGCCCAACACAGCTGAGCACCAACCTTAGGGTACATGGGCAGGCAGTAAGGTAGGGTTCCATGCCACCCATTGTGGCATTGCAGTGCCTACAGACGCAGTAAGGTAAGCATCGTGGAATCTGCCCTATTGTGTACTTTGTACGGGTTCTCCGCAAAGTGAGAGAGGCCCATTATTTTCCCCAGCTTCCATGTCCGCGGGGGCCGTGAAAGAGATCCAGTGGAAAACAGTTGTAGGGACCATCCAAGCTGAGGGTGTTGTGGATGTGGACTGCCGGTAAGACATCTGACACTTGAGGGTGCTGTGGCAGGACTTGTTGGGAAAACCGGGGTAGCACTTGATCAAGATCCCTCGTGAGGGCTCATCAGCCGGATGGATGGCACCGTCAGCCGGAGACGGCTGTTCTACCACACGCAGAGACACGGGGTTGCGATCCGAGGGGGGGCCAGATCAGTGAGATAGGTAGATGGTGAGATGGTGAGGTGGTGCCCTCTCGTACCTTACTTTGGCCTGAAGATGGCGTATGCAGCGACCACACGAGGCCTACATGTGTCTGTCCATGTTGTTGTAGGCATTGTCAGAAAGCAAGTACCGGTGGAGGATCCTATGCACGCCCATCGAGTCCGTTGCGTTGTTTTTAGTGTTCTCTGTCCTGGTCTATTCCCATTCTGATTATTCCCAACAGTGAGGTGATGAAATAGCAACGTCGGTGTGCAGATTGACTATCTCAGGTTGCGCAGCAGAAGCAGTAGCAGCAGCAACCCATGCAGTTCAAGCCCAGGTAGGTACCTAAGAAAGGCGGGCGTTTCGTCTCGGACAGCTACCTTACCTACCTCAAGTTTGGGAAGTCGGGACTGGGCGATACCCCTAAAAAAGATAGGAGCAAACGTAGCGGCCCGGCATCTCAGTACTCGGTGGAGGTGATGGAGCTACGGGCATGACGTACTGAATGCGGGGGCCACCCCGGGAACAGGCCAGGAAGCAAGGTCGACGGGTGTCGCTCTCTTTCACCGTCTCTGTGCGATGCCATCGCGACTTGGGCTGTCACCTCATGCCCATGGCCAGTGTGTGTGTTAGACTCTCGGCCCCGCCATTTTCCTGTCTTTCTTTCTTCCGTCTTCTTCTCTTTCGCCCTTCCCTCTCGTCCGTTCCAAGCCATCTCTTCTCCTCTCTTCCTCATCCGGAACCCGCGCCCTACTAGCCGTGGAAGATTCCATCAATTCCACCACTCAACTTGCTCGGAACCAAGCGAATAAATAATAACATCTCCTTTCCCTTCCCTTCCCCTCCCCCTCACCATCCCTTTTCAACGTTGCATGTGTCTCGACCATCAGTTGCTCTTCCTTTTCGCCACGTGCAGTCTTTATCCATCCGACCACGCCAACCTAACCTGCCCGAGGTCGCATTTAGCTGCTTTCCTCGTCCAGTCTCAGACTCCCCAGACCATCAAGCAAAGAGACGGATCGAGACAACGCTTCAGTCCGTTCACCATCAACACCACTTGTATTCGTATCTCATTTGCCTCTCTCCGCCAGTTCATCTGCAAATTCGCCCCTGGTTCTATCTGCCACGGCCAGCGGTCCCAAGACGGTGCATTTGGCTGCCGCTCTCCCGCTGTCCGCTACATTGCTTGTCGAGTCGAGACTCGGAACCAGGCCTATTCTTACCCTAGTATTAGGTACTCGGACATCCAGGCGCAACCCTAGCACACCACCTCAACAGACGGTACAGCTCCTCATTTGCCCTCGCCTGCATCGAACCGCATAGCCTGGGCTCGAATCAGGAACCGACCTGCACCAGACAGTTGGTCATTCAGCCAGGGCGCAGTTTCCAGCCCAGCGAATGACGCACACTCCTGCCGCCGCTCTGTCATCGTCAGAAATCGAATCACCTTGTACCAGCAGCCCGTGTTCGGGGGTCTCGTGGCATCCTCCCACTTGACCGCGTGACAACACAACTTCTTTTTCTGCCCAACCCAGCAACGAACAAACACTTGTCATTGCCATTGCAAATTCGATCCGCCATTTATATACTCTTTCGTCGTCTGTCAATTAGCCGACCCAGTCTAAACACTCGTCAGTCAATCGATCGAGCTGACCTCCCCGCATTGAACGAACGCTTCCCCAGCTTGCCCCGCTAGTGGGCCTGTTCGAAACCGACTTTCCGAATCGCTTCACTTCCGAGTCGTCGCGGCTTGACGCTCAACGACCGAAGAGATGCCTTCATCTCAGTCTCAGTCCCCCAGGAGGGGCCGTCCGATGCCATCAATCGCCCAGAGCACCGAATCTGCACCGTCGAATCCCAAGGAGAGAGGCGTACGCAGTGAGCGATCGCCGCTGCTCTCCTCCAACAACGACGATGAAGGCTACTTTGATCATCATGCGGTCCTGGCAGCGCAGCAGGAAGATACACAGCAAACCAAGAGCGTATGGTACCTGATTCTCCTGACCATTAGTATCGGTGGTTTGCAAATCGCCTGGTCTGTCGAGTTGTCCAATGGCTCTCCCTATTTGCTATCCCTTGGATTGAGCAAGTCGCTGATGGCCCTGGTGTGGATTGCTGGCCCGCTTACCGGCACCTTGGTTCAGCCCTATGTCGGTATGCTCAGCGACAATTGCCGACTCTCGTGGGGCAAGCGGAAACCCTTCATGGTCGGCGGGGCTATCGCGACTATCATCTCTCTCATGTTCCTGGCATGGACTAGAGAAATTGTGGGTGGTATCATGAGCCTCTTTGGCGCTGATGTCGAATCTGTCGCCGTCAAAAACACCATTATTTGCGTGGCCGTAGTGGGCATTTACGTCCTCGATTTCGCCATCAACACCGTGCAGGCCTCTATTCGAGCTTTCATTGTGGACTGTGCTCCGGCTCACCAGCAAGAAGCTGCCAACGCCATGGCGAGTCGCATCACCGGTTTTGGAAACATTGTCGGCTACATTGCTGGCTACATCAACCTCCCTACGTACCTTTGGTTTCTGGGTGACAGCCAGTTCAAGGTCCTATGCGCCATCGCCAGCATTGCCCTTGCGGCGACTATTGCAGTGAGCACCACGTTGATCAAGGAGCGCGACCCTCGACTGGAAGGCCCACCAGCTTCGGGCAAGCCTGGTGTGTTTTCCTTCTTCGGCAAAATCTTTACATCGATCAAGCGTCTGCCGCCTCAGATCAGGAAGGTTTGCCAAGTTCAACTATGCGCATGGGTCGGCTTTTTCCCGCTTCTTTTCTATACCTCGTCGTACATTGGTGAGATTTATGTCGAGCCGTACCTCGAGGCTAACCCCCACATGACGCCGGAGGAACTCGACCAGCTGTACGAAAGAGCAACTCGTATCGGAACCTTTGCCCTGCTCATCAATTCCGTCGTCAGCTTGCTCACGAACGTCTTTCTCCCGTTCTTCGTCGCACCCACCTACGACAGTCAACCACTTGGTGATCTCCCAGGAGACAGTGACAGTGGAGAGTTCGGTGATGAAAAGGCGTCCTGGTTGGATCGCCTGCAGATCCCCGGCTTCACCCTCAAGCGGGCTTGGTTTGCTTCTCTGATTCTCTTCTCGGGCGCCATGTTCTGCACCGTCATTGTTCGTACGGTAGAAGCAGCCACGGCCTTGATCGGTTTGGTCGGAATTACCTGGGCAATGACACTTTGGGCACCCTGGGCCATCATCAGCGCTGAGATCAGCCGGAGAGATGCAAAGATTCGCCAGAGAAAGCAACGACAATTCAGCCCCGGCAGAGGCGATGGCCCGGCGTCGCCCTCCACCATCGACTCTACCGCCGATTCTGACCAGACCGACTTGAGCGACAGTGAGGAGGCAGACCAGGCCGGCGTCATTTTGGGCATTCACAACATGGCCATCGCTGCGCCCCAAATCATTGCCACCGTTGGATCCAGCATCATCTTCAGGATTTGGCAGAAGCCTCGCGGAACCCCAGGCGATCACTCCATCGCTATCGTGTTGGCCCTCGGTGGCATCGCCGTGCTTATCTCTTCCTTCTTCGTTGCTAGCATCAAGGAAAGCGCCTCCTTGCCAGCAGACGCCATGGTCGCGGCCGAGGAGGGTGATCCTGCCACTCCCGGAATCCGTCCCGGCACGGGTCGCAGCCGCAATAAGAGCTACGAGCATCTCCCGCGAGCCAGTATCAAGCGTGCGACCCTCACGAGGAACAAGAGTTTTGGTGGTGCCGAGTATTAAAAGTGCTTGGAAATACACTCATTTGGCGTTGGGTTTTGCGGCGCTTGAACAAAGGGGAACGAGGTTTCTACTTTGTAATTGGGTTGGATTTAGGAAACATGCGAGGAGTTTGGGCATATGAAATGACCATCGAGGCGGAAAAGGAATTGCCACGCCACTTTTTCTTCTTCTTTTCACTGATGGATTCTCGAGTTGGGATGTTTTTGAATCGGGTAACACGGAGCGGACCAAGGGAGCAACAGCGATGGGATGATGGGGAACGCATAGGGGCGATTTTCCTTTTGTCCTTCACCACCACTTCTAGAATGCGAGAGGAGGAAGGGGTCATGAGGCTGTAGACCACACGATACATGAGAAGCAGCTTTTTAGCTGCTTAGAATGATAACGGCACGCAGCCGACACAATACCATTCCAGATGCAGCGATGGCCATGTTCACTTGCGTTGTTTGGCGATGCTTGGCGAGGTCACATGTAGACATGAAACATTGATGAAGTGATTCTTATTCCATTTCTTTTTCCAATTATACCCACACCTCATCCACCCCATTCTTTACATTATTCTTCTCGTACAATCATCTCATTGGGAAGGGTGGCTCCTTGTCCACCCTCCCATACATTTGTAATAAACGGCAACGACACACGAGAGATGAACAGAGTCTGATTCTCTGACTCCCATGATGTGCGTGAGAAAATGCCCCCCCAAACCAGTTTCATGCCGCAAAAATCAAGTATGACCAAAACTCCTTTCGGGGGGTTCGAATCTGAACCTCCCGACCCAATGCATTCTTTCTCATTTCGTGTTTCTTCTGCTCTCTTTCGCCTCATAGCTTGCTGTTCCGCAATCAGATCATACTTACCGAACCCTATTATGTTCGGTAGAAGAGAAAAGGGTTCAATATTGACGTCGTCTCGGTCGTGAAAGAGTTGATATAGGCGGATGAAGTGTGGTTGACCTTGGTTGAAAATTCGTTCGTCGTTTGCGCTTGCGGCCGCGGCAGGGTTTTTCTAAAAAAGCTCTTTTTCTACCCCTTACTCTAGAGGCAACTTTAATCAAACATGTCGGCGCCCGTGGGGCGACTCGCGCTGCTCCGTCTACGCTCCTGCCTGCGTCTACGACGATTATCGGCTGCTGCGGTTTCGACGGGGTTAGTCTTCAGATTGTCTGCCGCGCTGGGCGAAGGGCTCATTTGGCTCCATGTACCGTGGGTATTCTCGCTGCCTATGCTCGAGACGTTTCCTTCACCCATCATCACGCCCGGTGGCGGCGGCGGTGGGCCGCCAGAGTAATATGCCGAGTCTTTTGGTTGTCGTCCCGCGGCGAAAGCAGGGTTCGGCGGTGGTAGACTGCCGTCTCGTCCTCCGGTCTCTGCTAATCGTTCTGCTGCTGATTCTGCCCTCCTCTGGCTCGAGTCCCGACGGTACCGCCGTCCGCTGCCGACTTCGCTGCCGTAGAGACTGCTCACGGATCCCGCCCGCCTCCTCCTGTCCCCGCGCCTGCTCGCTGCGGCTTCTTCCTCCGTCAGCCTCCGCAGCGTGACGTTCCTATCCTTGTCGTCATGGACTCGGACCTTTACGCTCACAGGTTGCGAGCGCTCGGACTGGGCGCGGTGGCGGCGGGCGTTCTCTTCGGCGGCAAGAACGCTCGCTGATGCGACGGCGGCGGCGGCAGCTTCTTCGCCGGCTCGCCTGCGTTTGGATGAGTCGCGGCGTCGGGGCCGGCCGCTAGGCGAGCCGTAGACGTCGGTTTCGGATTCACGGTGAAGAACGCCTGCTGGGTCGGGAGGCATCGGGGGCATGCTGATACCGGACTCAACGACTTCGTGTCTGGAGTAAGTTGTGCGGGAGTGATCGCCGACTGGGTAGATACCTGGAGCGCCAGGTGGGGGTGGGGGACCGGCGGAGAGGGGTGGCATTGGTGGGCCGCCGTACCCGGTACCGGGAGGTCGAGGTTCCAGTTCGGAGGATTCGGTCATTTGTGTGATCTCGGTGCTCAAGGCAGACATGGGAGGTCGTGGCCGACGTCCGCTCATGCGGCGGGAGCCTCTCCGATCGCGGGAGGGCGAGTGGAAGCCGTCTCCCGTGTACCTCGAGCCTGTGATACCAGATCTCATGTCCTCCTCTTCTCGGATTCTTTGCTCCTCGGCGCGCTTCGCCTTCCGGTCGGCCATTTTCTTGGCGAACCATCCCAGGCCAAGGCCGGCGAGGATGCCCTTTCCGGCCCCACCGGCGGCGGCGGGCTGGTCTTCTCTCCGTCTGGACGGGCTGACGTATGACGAATATTCCGAGCCCTCGAAGCTGTACTGCGATCGGGTCCTGGCGTGTGGTGGGCGGTTGGTTCGCGGTTCAGCGGCGCTCAGAGCCGCGGCTGCCGCTGTCGGTCCTCCAGGTGCTGGCAGGATGGGGCCGTCTCGGGGACGCCTCGGTGGCGGAGTGTCCTCGGTCCAATCCGTGTAATCAGTGTATTCACTCGTAGCAGGGTAACTTCGACTCGGGCGGCGTCTCGGGGTCTCAACAGATACGGCCGAGTACTCTTCGTCATAAGTACGCTTTTCCTTGCGCTTCATCAGGTTCGACACGAGTTTGCCAGCGCCCAGGACAGCACCAATGCCGGCCAGCTTAGACAGGAAGCCTCCCGACTTCTTGTCATCCCGTCGAGAATCGACTTCGGTGAACTTTTCGTCTTCGAGGTATGTGTCTGAGCCCCGTCTGGATGTGAGATAGCTCGCGGATCCACGCCGGGAACCGATAACCTCCGGCCCACGACTGCGGTTCCTTGATCGCGATCTTTCCCGGCTGAGCTCCTTCTCCTTCTCCTTGTGCTTCTTGCGACTGAAGAGAGCGGCAATGGTTGCACCCGCGGCGAGAGGCGCCAGCCATTTCCGGTCCTTTTTAGTCTTCTCGGTGTAGACGTCGCTGTAGTACTCTGACTCGGTGATGCCACTCGGGCCTTCAGAGCGACCTCCACTGATGTAGGTCTCACGGCCACGGTGGTGGTCTGCACCCTCGGCGCGGTAGCTCAGGATGAAGTAGACGAGGAGCAGAAAAGCCAGCCAGAGGGAGAAGATGATGAAGGTCCACTTGGGCGAGCCGTACAGGGTCAGACCGAGAGGAACCTGGATGATGCCGAGAAGCGCAATGAGTCGACCACTCCAGCGGTGAAACATTTTGCGGAGCGAACGTCCCCTGATATGTCTCACAAGCCGACCGCCGATGATTTGGAGGAGGAACATGATGAAGATGGCGAGGCCGATTGCGTGGTGGGGGTTGGTCCAACTTCGTTCGGGGCCAACGGCGAACCAGCCCAGGACGAAGACGGCGACGAGCATAAGCGCAGCGAGGATATTGAGTTGGGCATGGTAAGGTATCGCGTAGCCGGGTTTCGCCGTATAGAAGCGGGCGGTAAAGACGGATAATGGCACGATGAGGAGGAAGATGATGGCGGCCATGACGCCGTGGGCGAGTACGAGAGTATGGTACTGAGCGACGGTCGAGAAGCGATTGCCCATGCCTGTGGGTGGTCGCGTGTTAGTCGGGCAGGCTGCCACGGCGAATACGCCGTGTTTGAGAGTAAGGTATTCTCACCATTGTACTGCATCGTCTCAAAATTGAGGCCGACGAGGTTAGGCAACAAGAAGGTGTTCTTGCTAAAGTCCCAGGTGCCATCACCAACGGTCATGGTGTTGGAGTCGTAGGAAGCGACGCCGGGCGCCGAGAACCCATCTGCCGGCGCCATGATGGCGGCGACGGGCGAAGCGGACCTTCAGTTCGGGGTCGATAGATTTGAGGAATGCGGGATTGTCTGATTGCGTTTGGTGTCTCTATCGTGGGCGACTCGACTCGAAAGAAAGGGACCCCCGAGGAATGTGTCTGTCTTGGAGGGGGGGTTGGGAGGGTCCCTATGAGCCGGTCGGTGAGACGTCCGGAGGTGAGTGGGGGTGGTTTCTCAGTGTTGGTGAAAGTATGAAGCAAAAGAAGACGGTTATTCTTCTGCTTCAACTCAAGATAAAAAAATGAAGTAGAACAAAGAAATCTCTCAAGATAGACCTCAAGGTACTATCTTTAGTGAAGAGAGACTAAGGTAAGGTAAGGCAAGGCAGGCGGTCCCAAGAAAAAAAAAGAGAGACGGGCGGGAGGGAGTGGGTTGGCCAGTCTGTGAGCTCACCACCCAGCGGCAGCAGCAGCAACCGGGTTCCAGTTCCAGGTGTCAGCGAAAGACGGTCCTTGCAGACTCGCAGACGTGGTTGCGCGGGGTAACGCGGTCCTCCTTGGCGCCACACCCCTGGCTCAGCGATGGTCAGCAGCTTATCGATAGGTTGAAGCTCTTATCGCACGTGACAGATCCCACTTATTTAGGAGAGTTCTCCATAGAATCGCGCAAACAGGTGGCTGGGGGTTAATTAATTTTTGGATGAACCTGGCAGGCGCGACTATTCGTACTTCCTACCCAAGTCTACCATAGGTAGGCGCAAATATACGATCCTGCCTTTTCTCGATGATGGCGATTTCCTCAACACAGGGCAGGATGAAACGGCGAGGAAAGAAGGCAACAGAAAGAAAAATGCAAGAACTGTCTCGGATGTAGTAATGAGTCATCCGTACCCGAAAAGAAGCTGCATCTTAACGGAACCACCGACCAGCAAACAGATGCAGCAGCCTGTGCCTGGATGCTTCAACATCAAAGCGTTGTCGGTTTGTCCCACCGTCGGACACGTCAAGCTGCACAAGCGCAAGTGGCTTTGCAACGTCACCCAACCTAACACACACCTTCGCCCGACTCCGTTTGCCCAGCCATTCAATTAGCATCCATCTATTTTTTCCCTCTCCTGCCTTCCGTTTTCTCATTGAGGCTGACATTCCGCATTTACCCCTGAATACGAGAGAGCCGCAAACCTGCATCACCTTTCTCCTTTTCCATGCATATCTTGGAAAACATAGTCACCGCCTTTTGATCCATCTGCCTTGAAATGCAGTTTTCTCCATCTTATACGGGCCGGTCCGCTTCTTCGCCTTGCATCTATACTTTCCGAGGTCTTCGTCCTCCCGTCTGGTCTCCGCCGAGCTGAGTTTGTTTCAAGAACAGACCGCGACTCTGAAATCATGAGGCTCGCCGTGGCCGCCACCTCGAGCTGTGGAGGCCTCTGGGCCGGTTTGCCAGGCCACGAAAAGAAGAAATCCACTGTTGGGCACGAACAACGTTTGTGTCACTCTCGGAGTCATGGACACTTTGAGAACCCCGTCCTCTTTCACAGCCCACTTCGGAAACACGGCGAGTACAGAAGGGAAAGGCAGAGTCATTCACTCTCTCAACAAGATTCAATTCAGATATCACCATTCGGGAGCTACTGCGTACGAGTACAGACATGAGCCTGCACCAACCAACCCAATCAGTGGTACCCATTCGAAGTCCCATTCGAGCCCTGCCCAGGCGCCTTCGCCAACACGCTCCCGTATCTCGAGTAGTCGTCCTTGGGCGACGGCACAAAGTGCTCAGGCGTCAACTTGGCACGCGGCTCAAACACGCAGATGATGTCCGACCCGCCAAACAAGAATGTCGAAATCTCCTGGCCCTTCTTCAGCTTCTGTCCCACACGGACCGATAGCTTGACCGACGAGACCATGGCCATGCCAATCGGCAGCACGGCCACCTTGCCGAGCACCGGGTTGTCAATGACCACCAGGCCCCTCGTCTGGAGGAACTGGTAGCCCGGAGAGTCGGGCGCCTCGGGCCGGCAGTTGGGGTCCTTCTCAATGTCTTCGGCCGTCACGAAGAGCTTGCGGATTGGACGACACTGTTGGTCCACTTCGAGGTACGCCGCCCCCTGGATGTTCTTGGCCTCGATGACTGTCCCAGAGACGGGCGCGTGCTGCCGGTGGTAGTTGAACGTATTGAGGAAGGCATGCATCCAGACGCCCCCGTGGAAACAGTCCGCATACTCGCTGCCCTGGAGCAGGGCTCCGATGGTCCAGGGGAGGCCCTTAATCTCAATGATACCCGTGTCCTGAACGTTGACGATGCTCTGGTTGTAGAGCGAATTGTCGTAGGTGCAGTCCGCAGGGTAAGTGATGACCCTGTCATCGTCCTGATCCGCAATGGGTCTCACGCCCGGCTTAAGGTGGCGGGAGAAGAAGTCGTTGAAGGTGCGAAAGCCGCCTTCGGGGATGAGCGCCTCTTCTTTGATCATGTACTTTGGCGAGTCGACAAACGTCTGGAAGGTCTTCTCGTTGATGGACGCCGGCGTGTCCATGAAGAGCCCGATGAGCTGCGCAAACACCACGATCCAGCTCGATAGCGGGGTCAGCGGCAACCCAACCGAGCTCGGGTGGACGAGCGTCTGCTTGCCCAGCAGCGGCTCCTGGTCGAGGATGAAGTAGAAGAGGCACAGGATGTCGTACACATCCTTGGCCTGGACGTTCTCGGTGGGAGTCCACTTGAGCATGTCATTGGCAAACTTGTAGAATGTGTCTGCGTCCTCAATGCCCATTTTCGCCATGAATTCTGGGATTTTCCCCAGTGCCGACTGAACGGCCTTGGTAAGGTCGTCCTTTGGAATGAGGGACATGAAGAGGATGATGATGGGGTTGAAGTGGATGATTCCTTCGTCTGCGATGGGCTCGTAGGTGTTGGGGGGCATGAAGGAACCCCACGAGTACTTGCCGCCTCTGGAGATCGAGCCTGGGACGGATCCCGGCTGCTTGAGGTAGGGGTTTGACGGGATCGGCTGGAAGCCGACTTCCTCGTCAGTGGCAGTGGGGAGACCCGGCATGATGGATGATGTTTTGCTGGAATGTTTAGGAAGAGTAAAGAAGTCTTTGTTTGAGTTTCGAATTGGAATCTGAGTGCTTGATGGTCAAGAAGAGCCTGGTTCTACTCATCTCCATCTGAGGATCCCTGGCTCATATATAGACGAGCCAGACCGCCCTCTCCCCCTTTCTCTCCTTGATCTCAACGACGTGCAAATTGGAGGTCAAGCGCTTTCAACGTCAACGGGGAGGGGGAGCAGGGAGCGGGCACTAGTCACGGCCCGTTGCCGTACCGCTGCCGGAGAACTGAGACCGGCTTTGCTGTCTCACTTCCCCTCTGTTGATCAACCGCACCCCGCGCAGGTGTCTCGTTACTCCCGCTTCTTGACGCGTACTCGGATGATGCCAGATCGGGATACAAGATTCTAGCGTCTTGCCAGCTTGGCGGGGTTGTCAAGCTGCTTTTAGTATGTCATGGTGTTGATCTTTTGTGATCTTCGAGAGGTTCGTTTCTTGCTTCTCCTTACAGACTTATTCCTACTTTCACTCAAGCGATGTATGAGGTAACTTGCCGGATCGTTGCAGGCCTCAACTGAATCTATTAGACTGTTGTGTAAGCCAGGGCGGGAAACACTGCCGGTGTTGCAAGTATTGTGATCTGTTCGGACGTGTCGTAACTTTGCATCATGGTGTTGTTGGACTACTTGGCCCTGCTTGCCTGCAATTCCTCTGAATCTCGTTTGACACCCGTAAACGGCGAGACATCTAGATGCAGGTTTCACTTGCACATAAACTTTACCACGGCTCCCCTCAGTTGCTTCACCGTACCGTCGAAAAATGTGACCACAAAGGGATGGGAATATGCTCGATCAGTTCCTCTGCTTTCTTGGCAGTACGAAGCTGATAATTGAAGCCAATGGTTCATGGTGGAGGTGAGGACCAGGACGGCCGATCACTACTTACTCACTCTTCTGGTGACCGGAGCTGAGAGCCGGGAACTGGCTAAGCCATTGACAGCTGGGTAGAGAGAATTGGAACTCTCGCACTCAGTTGATCGAATACGCATGAACACCTATGCGTCTTGCTGTTGAGAGGCCAGAGGCATGGCATAATGAGAAGGTAGCCACCCTTATCGTGCACACGACTGAAAAAAAACAAGCTCAGAATGAAGCCCTAGCGAGATCACGGCATCTTGACCCGTAACCTACAACATGCTCTCGATCCAGCTCCTTCTTTCTTGCGGAATTTTGGCTTGATACCAACTCGGGCGGTCTGAGCAGCTGGTATGCTTGTGCGACTCTGAAAGCCAATGACTACAGCCAGTCCAAGAGCGCGGCGTCTTCTCCTCACCCTGACAGAACGCATCAATTGCTGCTGCAGCAAATCACCCCCTTCGACGTCTCTATTGATCTATCTCTGAGATTCAGCCGGTTTCACGCCAAATTTCTGACTCAAAACCACCCAGGCACCGACGACAAGTATCTTCCTGAACGCTGCGGGGTCACCGTTTTCACCAAACGCAGTCTCAAGACACCGTGATATGCTCCCAAAATCGACAAAACCGAGGCATTCGACTGCCTCTTTCGTCAGCAACCCCCTAAACATCCGCTGTACCGGCCCTCCCACGGGCCATTTCCATGGGGACGAGTACGGGTGCTTCTTGCGGTTGTAAATCTCGTCCGTGATGAACGGCCGCCCTGCCTCCCGCAGGATCTTTTTGTCAATGATGCGATCTCGGACGGCGGCCATGTTCTCCCAGAAGAAGCTCTGAGGCGCTACTTTCTTTTTCTCCCCCTCCTCCTCGTCATTGGTTCCTATGGAATCCTCGGGCTTATTGTAGCTCATCTTGACGCTCGGCGGAAGCCCGTTGACGTACTCCGCCAGTTCATGGTCCAGGAAGGGGAGACGCGCCTCGATGCTGTGCGCCATCTCCGACCTATCGCCCAGACAGGTCAAGACCATGTTCGCCATGGAGGTCTTTAGGAAGACGTACAGCGCCGAGTGGAGGCTGTGCCAGCGCGTTCGAATCTTCTCCTGGGCGTCTGGGGGGATGGAGTTGAGTATCGCTTCGTAGACGCTGAGTGTGTTCTGTTTCTCTCTTACCCAGGGGGCAAACACGTCCGATGAGGGAAAGCCTCGCCATTGAGCCATGAAGACGTCCAAGCCTGCGAGAGGGTCGAAGCCGGTGCTTTCTTCCGTTCGGGAGTGATCAAACATGCCCATACATTTGTACATGTTTCGCAACTGCGCTGCGGCGGACTTGTACAGCGCTTCCCGAAGCTCGTTATCCTCGGCCAGCTCGGTCAGCGGTAGAGAATCGTCGGGTTCACGCAGAAAGTCAGAGACTAGGAAAGGGTACCCTGCAAAGTGCTCGTCTGCCCCCTCGCCCGTCAGCACTACGGGGATTCCTTGCTGGCGAGGTAGCTCGGAAAGCGCATACTTTCCGACGCTATTCATGTCGAAGTGGTGGTGCTCGGTGTGGTAGACGGAGTCGTCGAAGTGCTTTGCCAGTTCTTCCTCGTCCATGACTTTCTTTACTATGTTCAAGTCCAGCCATTCTGCGGTGCGTTCTGCAATGTCTTGTCAAGTCATTAGCATGAGTCTAGGACGTGGGTTCCCCCAATGAACCTACCGTATTCGTTATACTGGGATTCAGAGGTAAAGGAGATGCTAAAACAAGTGATCCTATCTTTAATGTCCTGATTCCCCAGCTTCACTCCTCTTTCTCGTACGAGCTGCGTTGTTATACCCGCCACAATGGACGAGTCGAGACCGCCTGACAGATAGATGCCGACGGGGACATCGGCTTGGAGACGGAGACGGACGGCATCTACTAAGCGCTCGCGAACTCCGTCGACCATCTCATTCATACTGCGTATCTCTTTGACGGCCTAAACCGCTTGTAAGCCTATCAATCACCGTTCGGCTTACACATTCATGTGAATCCACTTACCTTATCCGCATACTCGGCATCCCAATACCGAAGCTGCGTCACGCTGCCATCTCGACCGAACCGCACCCAATGCCCGGGCAACACCTTCTTCACTCCCTTGAACAGCGTACCTTCGCCTAGAGCCGCCGCACCGCTGCAGATGGCATCGACGTCCCACTCGGGCTCCCACCCCATGGGCAGAAACCCCTTGATCTCCGAGGCGATCAATAGCTTGGCCGGCGTCTCGCTACTGTACGTCCAGAAAAGAGGCTTGATGCCGAAACGGTCCCTCGCGGCAATAACGTCACCGGATCGCTCATCGTATAACACGAAGGCAAATTCGCCTCGCAGGTGCTCAAAGAGCACGGGGACTCCGTAGCGTTGGTACAGAGCCAGGATGACCTCGCTGTCGCTCCTCCCGGAGAAGTTGTAGTCGAATTCGGCGGTACAGCGGCCTCGGATGGCAACGTGGTCGTAGATCTCGCCGTTGACTATGATATGGATTTGCTCGTCTTCACTGTGTAAAGGTTGGACGCCCGTTGGCGAAAGATCTATGATGGACAGGCGTGCGTGGCCGAGACCTTTGTAACTGTGTCAATGTTCGGCAAATAATCCCAAACCCGTGTCAATAGAGCTGAGATGAATCATACCGACGGTGGCGTCGCTGTTTATCCATGTTCCTTCTGCGTCTGGGCCTCGATGTTGAAGGAGAGATAGGCTTCGTGTTAGTTTACTTTGCACATCGGCGTGTCGTTCCGATGAATCGTTCTGTGGACTGCCGGATTGGATGATGGCTGTTATCCCGCACATTCTTGAGATGAAGTTCTCTGCGGCTTTTTATCAGATGAAGGTCCTGTTAGTTGTGTAAGTGAGCCAAGTACGATATGGGGATAGTTATGAAAGATATGTGACCAGAGAGAGAAGGCGACGCATCTTCAGAAGTTTACAGGACTGGCCAACAATGCTTGAATGACGAGCTGAGTCTGGCAGGAAGCATTGCTCCCAGGTCTACTCTGAACTTTCTCCATCAGAGTGACGTTGAGTTGCATCCTCGCCGTTGGGATTCAGAGTTTCGTACAGAGGGATCAAGGTTTCGGCAGCTGAGTACCGGGGAAGAACAATACGTTGCCTATATCCCACTGTTTCCCAACCCCCCAGCTGTGATGTCTGAAAATCGCGGCTACATGCTTCTCCAAGAATTCGATTCTCCGCGGAAGCCATGGAAAGAGAAACGAGGCGCACGGGTCGGGACAGCCTGCGTTAACCACGAAAGTTCCGTACTGTTGCTTGATGAGTGACTCTCAGACGTTTTTCTTCCAAAAAATGGTACAGTATAGATAGAGCCCTCCTGGGAGGAAGTTGTCAGCCAGCCGTGATTAAAGTCAACCAACGTATGATTCAAAATTCAAAACCCGCTTCAAACTATCAAATTGTCAAACTGTAACTGCCTTCAGCACGCCAAGAATCCGAACCATTACAGGGAAACTCGAGTCAATTGCCTGGAGTGATCTGAGCACTGGCTTTTAGTAAGAGCCTAGCAAATTTCTGTGACAATTCTCCATCTATTTGTGAACCAACGTCTCGGCAGAACTCCCTGGCATAGGTCCGTACACAATGCGCGGGGGTTGCGCTCTCATGGCACCCCCCACGAAACGATCGATACTCCAACTCCGAGCATCAGTATCGCGGACTGACACAAAGGCTTTGTGCTTGCTCTTCTGCGCAGCTTCCCAGAGTTCCTTCATCGAGTACTTTCTCTCGTGAAAGCGCCGCGCATCGAAGAAGTTATTGACAAGCTGTTGCAGCCGAACACGCATGAATCCCCTGTATCTTCCGGGCGTCTCTGATTGCCGTGGCTCATCGATTGTGGTAAATGTCTCGACCGCATCGTTGTAGTCAGGGTCAACAGCCCAAACCCACATGTCGTCGACGAGCCCTTGCGCACCAAGAACCGATTTGACACTTGGCATGTCTACCATCAGGAAGACGTTGTGCAGAATGCCGCCTTCTAGACCACTGGTTTCTGAATGCACAGGTGCGCTAGAGACGATGCCTTCTTGTTTTTGACTCCTTAAGCCTCTGTCTCGGATAAGCTTGAACCTTGTACGCAAGATGCGGAAGCTGGCGATTCTCTCTTCGTCCTCTCCTCCACCTCCCTGGTCCTCGTCAACAGCCAGCTCACTGATACCCTCTTCCGCGTCGCCTCGACCACCAGCTTGTCTGGCGCCCATCTCCTTGCCGTCACCTGCAGCATCACTGCCAGGCCACTCAAGCTTCTGCAACTTCCACTTGTTATTGATGGCACTGCTTCCCGCCCCAACCGCGTCGCGAGCGTGCAATAGAACGCCATCTCTCCGAGCCATGTACTTCTCGGCTTCTTCGTCGTTGGCGAACGCCTTTGGGTCGATGAACATGCCATACCCCCAAACCTTCTCCCCTTTGTCCTCCTCCCACAGACGTCTCACCCATGAGTGCGCCTTGGACAAGGCATTTTCAGTCTTCTGCCTCTGTCTCGCTTTCCATGCTTCATTTTCGCGCCTCCAGTGCTCTGTGATAGCATTGTCGATGGCTTTCTCTTCATTTTCTGCATAGAGCATGTGGCGTACCGCCCCGAGACGCTTCTGGGCTTGTTCACACTCCTCTTCTGAGACTCTGTTGGGTCCCATGATCAGCCCGGCTGCCCGTGAGACTTCACGTTCCTCGCCTGGCGAGATATCCATCCAGTAGCGGTTCTTGAGTAGAGAGATCTCTGCGGCGGTCAGCTGCGAGGGTGATTCGACAGCACGCTCAAGGAGACCATCTTTGGAGAGCTTAGTCGATTCAGCAATGTTCGCTGCTTGAGTTTCGGCATCTGGAAAGTCGAGCAAACGCTTCTGATCATGGAGAGCGAGTGACGGCGAGGCATCATTCTGAGAGAGTATGAATTCCTCGGATGCTAAGAACGATTGGATGAGCTCGTCTGCGTCGTCAATCTTGCGAATGACCCGCATGAATGACCTGATGTGATTTTCCATGTTTGTTACGAAGGCGAACACGGCATCGAGGTGTGATTTGATAGCAGGAGCTATAAGGTAATTTTCTGGTATTTGAGTAGTGGCTAAACCATTAGCTGATGGTTGAGGTACACCTGATTGTGGACCAATGGGTTAGCGGGCAACTTGGGGTCAAAGGTGCTTAAACCCGTACATTACCGCACTCGACTAACGATTCTCTGTACCCCTATTCTGAACAATTGCAACCCGAACCGAACATCTAGGTCTTCTCATCATCTATGTATCACGTTCTTATGTAATCAAAAGGCAAGTGCATGGTTGATCAATGGTGTGATATTTGTTCATGGAAGGTATAGATACATGTTATATGCTGGCTAATATTGTACAAAGAAACGTCTCATCCCGAGCCATCGTAGACCACTGCATTTAGCAGTTGGTCTGGATGCCCTGAGAGTACATGGCAAAGGAATCGGCATTGTTCAATGCCTGGGAAGTGCTGAGGGAGTCGACGCAGCCCTCGTAGCCGTAGCAGACGTCGTCGGTTCCGCCAACCTCAGTCAAGTGGGTGGACTCGTGAACCAGGACGTACGGCTGGTCGGTGGCGCGGCACGAGGTGGTGGAGGCGGGGAACTGGAAGAAGTAGTCGCAGACGACGATGTAACCGCCACTGCCAGGCTGGGCGTAGGCAACGACACCGTCACTGCAGAAGTTGCCGACGTCGGTGCAGTACAGGCCGGCGCCGCTCGACGTGCTGCCGAGGAGGGTGGCGGCCTTGCCAAAGATACCGGCGACGGTGGACTTTGTGCTCGACGAGGTCGACTTGAAGTACTGCTGCAGGCGAGTTCCCGCGTTGGCGGCCGTCTGGGCGTTGGTCGCGTAGGTCTTGGCCTTGGAGAGGGCGGCGGTGACGGCCGTCTTCTTGGTGCCGGTGCAGTCGGACTGGATGGTGACGCGCTTGGCGTTCAGGGACTCGTGGAAGGCGGCGTGGACCGAGGCGGCCTGGGTGCCGTCGACGGTGGCCTGGAGGACGCCCGAGTCGAAGACGACCTGGCCGGCAATCTTGTTGCTGCCCTCCTCGGCGTAGCGGAGGGATCCCGTGCTGGAAATGTTGAAGTCTCCACCGCTGCTCAGATCGTGGACCTGGGCGGCGTCCCACTGGACCTTGACGACCTCGCCGGCCTCGATGGTCTGGAAGGCAGAGTCGGGGAGATCGGCATCGTGAACGTAGACTCGCACGCCAGTGAAGGCAACCTTGCTGACTATTGATAGTGTCAGATACTGATTGTTTTTGGAATGTCATGAGTACTGGTCTAGACTTACCACCAGTGCCATCGACCGAGCTCGTCGAGAACTGGGCCTTCTCGACGGGCGATCCATCGAGGATCGAGCCCGCCTTGAGAACACGGAGAGGCGTGCTTCCGGTGTTGGTGATGCTAGCCTTCAGCTCGCTGTTGCCGACCTGCTCGATTTTCACATCGAGGGGCTCCGCACGTCTGCCCAGGTTGACGGCAGCGCCGTTGGCAAGGGCGGCGAGGCAAGAAACGACAGTGGCGGCCTTCATGGTGGCTAAGTAAGGTGGTGGGATTTTAAAGAGAGTGTAGGACGAAGCCGTTGGAAGATGCTGGATTCTTCTCAAGAGAAAAGGTAGTTGGCAGCGAGAGAGGAAGGCTTTATGGCTCCTCCATAACTCCTGAGAGGGAAGCCCCCTGATCTGAAGGTAACGCTTCTTGGGACCTCAAACGAACAGTAGATTGCATCACGGAGAAGAAACTTCAAGGATACGGGTGTGAGGCCGGGGCAACGTTCCACCACGGAGAATTGTCCCAGTGGTTCGGGATGCGGGTGCGAAGTTGGGAGGATGGAAATTATCCGATCATGTCCAAAATAGAGACGAACAGGAAAGCTGACACACGAGGCTTCCACCAACCGAAGCGCGCAGCCGCGAATAGAGGTGGGTGTGTCAAGCGGGGACATCTCGTAACGGATCTACACAGACTACTATAACTGAAGCCATCCCCAGCTGCTTCGTTGTACGAATGGGGAGCCATGGTTATGATGGTTTAGAAGCGGCTCCCACTCCTTTAGTGAGCTTAATATGAGCCTTAAGAGGTCGTTATGGAGCAGGAGGTGCCGGGTTCGGAGTTTAAAGTAAATAGAGTAGTGGGCCAGGTCGACTCTGATTAGCTGTTTATTTTCACTACCGACAGCCGTACACCAAAACGTGGACTTGGCAAGGTCTTGGCTGCGTGCCGTTTTGATTTAAACAACAGTGGCGCTGCTTTGATTCAGACTCGCTCGGGGCAACTTTTAATCTCGGCAGCGACAACCTCATACGCGCGTGTACGTAACAAACGTTTGCCCCGCATTCATGCTCGGTCTAGCCCCAATATCCTACAAACGTCCGTTCCCTTCATGATTCTCATCGGTTCTGCGACCTGCCTAAAGGAGCATCAAAGCCGTTGACGATCCAATCAGGCATTCCCCATTTGCCTCCTCTTCCTTGCGTAGTGGACTCGTCTGGAGCCTTTGTCAGGAGACTGTCGTGGCACAACATCGTCATCGTTCTCATTCTCTCTCAAGTCTTGATTCTCTTGGCCCCCTGAACTCCTCATCACCTTTCCAGCAACCCAACATACAGACTTTGCCTCCACCACCATCGACTCGTTGAACTCTGAAGCTCCCGTACCTGAAAAAACCTCACTCAAGTCTACGTTGCTTACTCTCACTCTCCAAACACCCCTAGTCAAAAACGAGTCATCATACATGAACCCTCATCACCGTAGCCGAGGGCCTCTTTCATTCCCGGCCGCCCTAGCAATCGGCGCCGTCATCGTACTCACATTCTACTTTTATTCGCCACTGCAATCCTTCGCAATGACTTCTGACTCCTCCTCATCCTTCCTCAACAACCTCGAGGTGAGCCTGTCTCAGTCCGGCACCTCGCCTCCGAAAGTCTCGGTGTCCGTCAAGAACACACACCCGGACACGGCCGTGACGCTCCTGAAATGGAACTCCCCGCTTGACCCCGCCGTTCTCGGCCTGGGCCAGGTGTCCATCCAGCCGGCCGGGGCCTCCGAGCCGATCGAGACCCACGCCATCATGATCAACCGCAAGATGCCGCCCGGCGCCGAGTCGCTCATTACATTGCGGCCCGGTGAGAGCGCGGATCAAATTGTTGAGCTTCGCGAGCCAAGGGTGCCGGGAGATGTGTGGGAGTCAGGCAAGGCCAAGGTAGCGATGAAGGGAAGGTGGATGGCTGTCTGGCCTGGTCTGACTACGGAGGAAGTGTTGCAGAGTCCCGAGAAGTTGACGTCTGTCGGTGCTGGCGCAGGGTCTTTGATAGGAGAGTGGGAGACGGAGACTATTGAGGTTGGAAACTGAGCACTCAGTTTGCTTTCCCTAGAGTTTGAGATGTTGCAGAATGGTATTTTGATCGCATCTTGCAGACTGTCGACATGTGAAACGAGGATGTGAATCAGAAGGTTTAAAGCATGAAGCAACCTATATTGAGGCATATATGAACTTGAATGACTGAAGTTTGGCGCTCTGGGGGTTCATCAGTATCTGCCTCAGATGAAAAAGATACTCGGCACTTCAGAATGAGGTAGATCGGCGAGGCATCTGACTTCGTCATGCCTCTCTTGGAAGAGAAGTCTCATCCCCACTGGGCTGCCCTTTACTGACTCTCAGGTCTGATAAGCGTTTGTTTACTTCCATCAATTTACCTTCGAGTGGTCGATGCACGCGCATAGTGTTGGTCAACCAGTGTCGATTCAAATCGTACGGCTTCGGTTCTGCTGATACAATATACAATTTGCATCGTCCTTCGACGAGTCAGTATGAAAAATGAACGGGTTGAGCAATACAAGACTTACCCCAGGCAAGCTGGCTTAGATCCATGACGTTGTAAAGAAGATGTTGGAACAGACGGGCGACAAGAAGTACAGGCAAAACCATGAACCCTATAATGACATGAACATAGGTAACCCAGTATGTAGACTCTGGGCCCTCCATGACACCATACGCTCGCGAAACCTGTTGAGCAGGAAGATCAATGAGTATGTATGCCAACCAGAACCGCAAGTGCCCCGAAAAGCTGCTGCTGCGTTCCATTTCATGTCTCGCATCAACATCACCACGTTTTTGATTCTCTTTCCCGGTACCGCCGACCTTGGCTATTTCTTGTTCATGTGTGGGCAACCTCCGCTCCATTTTCCCCTGTATCTCATCTGTGGAGCTCAACTGGCTGTTTCTCATCTTAGAATAGGAGTAGCTGTTGATAGCCGTCAACACTTTCTTTGCATTGACAAGCGCTACGATCGTGAGGGCGAGTGCAACGACTGAACAGATGATCATAGGCTTCAGCACATCACGTGGCGGTGTTTCGCTCATGCTGAATACGCTTGCTGCAAAGCCGATTGGCAAGAACACGACAGTTACGTACGTGAACAGCCGGACGTTTTCTGCGTCAATCAGTGAGAGGGTGTCGCGGCTCTGCTGCTGGTAGCTTATCAGCTGCGCCTTCTGCGACCGAATGTTGTTGCGACAATTCTGCAATTCTCTGATGCTGCTGTTTGTCGCCGCTTGCATCTTTCCAATGAAGCCGCGGTACTTGCGCTCGTCGTTGCGTGTCCAACGTGGCCGCTCTTGACCTCTATCTTTCTCGCGCGTCTCCCATTTCGCAACAGTCGAGAGTACTTCCGAGATGTCTTTTTCCATGTCCTGGAGCAGTTGCTGACAACTTTGCCATCTGGCGCTAGATGAGAAGTATTCGACGCTGCTCAGAGTCGAAAATGACATGGTACCGCCTTTATCGCCTAGCTCATCGATGACTGCCTCGAAGATCTCTTTGGTGCTGCGGACGATTTCCTTCAAAATTCTGTCGAAAAGATGCAGCTCGAGCACTTTTCTTTGTCGCCAACCTTGTTCACCCCATGGCTTGTTTTCTGGGCCTTCGCTGCTATCCTTCACTACATGACCAGGGATGTACTCTATCAAGTGACAAGTCCAATATCTGTCAAAGAAGTCTCCAGATATGCGGAACCCCATCGCGGCTCGCGCTAGCCTCTTGTCGGTGCTACCTGGGACCTCTTTCATAACCAACTCGGGTATTCCTCGAAGCTGGACGTGATTCTTTTCTACCATGCGATAGAAACTAAGGTGAAGTTCGCTCATCCACGTGTTTAGAACCATTGTTGTTTCTTCAAGGAATTGGTTCTCGAAGTGGGAATGGCAATCAAAAAAATGCGACATAGCTGGCTGTTCATCTGGTGGGCTACTGATGTAGCAGATGAGAGCAGTTTCGGTGTTCGCGTCAGGTAACCAGACGAGCCGTTTCTTGGCTATTTCAGCTGTTCGAGGCTGCGACAAGGCGTTCCATAGCTGCTTATGGTAGAGTTTGTCTGAAGGCTCATCACGGTGCGCCCTCTCACGTTTGCTGAGGTTCTTCTGCTTTCGAATGTCTACTACCCACGCCTTGCGAGAGATAGATCTGAAAAATGGATCAGGTAACCGAATGCCTGCAGCAATTAAGCCTTCCGGGTACTTATTGAGAGCCTCAAAGTATCCTTCGGCAGCCTTCGCAACGATGGTGCCTGAACGATTCCTCTCCGCGGGCATCAACAATTTCTTTGCCTCCTCGTTGAAGCCTTCGGGAGCACACGAAGTATTCCCCAGGAAGTATGGGTAGTTGTACAGCCATTCTTCTTCCAGGTCAACTATGCTGCTCTGATCAATGAGGCTATTGAATGGGACGCTCTTTTTCATAGCTGTCACTTTCAGTCGCTTGGGAGCTTCACCTATCTGGGAGGTAGCTGCTTGAGTTGTAGGCGACCTGTGCTCCTGGTGTTTCGGCTGTTGTTGCATTCTTTCTACCACATCGTTGAACAGTCTTGGATCTGTTGTTTTCGTCGCTGAGCGTATTTGCGAGATCTCGGGGTCTTTTTCGGAGACTTCTTTGAATCTATATTCGATCCTCCAACAATGCGTCAGGAGAATGTACGGAATTTCAAAGGTGGCGTGGAAATAAAAGTCCCGATCCCGCTCTCTGCCAAACAGCGCTGGCTCTTTTGTAGTTCCATCAAGCTGCCCATAAAACAGTCCATTCGGGCTGGTGGATCGAAAGAGAACATCAAAGGCAGACTTGACCAGGTCTTTTGGAGACTTTTTGTTCAAAGACATGTTCCTAGCTCCCATCATGATTGCCAGCGCATATCGGGTTGAATTGTCCCATCCTGTCTCCGAATTCTCGTTGTGATGCACTTGTGCCTCGATCGTGTTGTCCCAAACCTCATCAACTAGCTTTTGCAAGAAAAAGTTCCACTCGATGCCGTATAATAGAGCAGTATCGCTCGCATGGAGTAAGAAACGCGTTTCGCGGGAAGATCGTGTCGTGGCCAGCATACGTTTCTTCGACACATCGTTCTCGGCCGTGAATCGTCGTAGAATGTCTCGTTGAATGCCATCGGAGCCAAATTGCCTGTATAGCTTCTCTTCTTCGCTTGCGATATGGTTCCCCTGTGTCACGTCGTTGTCTCTCTGATATTCCCTGCCAGCCTTAGAAGCCTCACCATGATTATCTCCCCCGTCATCCGGCAGGTTCTTCGTGTCGGTGGTCCTCCTCCGGTCATCTTCGATAGTCTGCAAAGCTCTCCAAATCCACACGTGTTCATTGAGCCTGTACTTGTTGCAACCTTCGTCCTGTGCATGTGGCCAAACGTGGGATGAACGCTTGTCAAACTTGTGAAGTGTGCCGAGCCATGCCGGAGCAACTCTCCGGATAACTCGCCGTGCTAGATCCAGATCATCATTGCTTCTGTAGAGGCTCGTAAATGCAGACGCCTTCATCAATTGAAACGGCGTATCTGTGAATGAGTTGCTTGGCATGAAAGACTCGCTCTCCGTATCGGCAAGCATGATTCGACCTGTTGGCCAGTAGTTTGCTGCAAAAACATTTTCTTCAGTTAGGCCAGCCTCCAAAAGCCACTTTAAGTGGCTCCGACAAACCGAGTAGATTCTTCGTTTCAGCGACTTGTAAGGATCTTCGGGGCTAGGTTTCTCGATGGCGTGCAGATACTTTGCAATCTCAAGGAGAAACGAGAAAGCAAAGCTGGATCGATTAGAATGCTGATCGAAGATACAGGAAGACGTGGGGAAGGGACTGTTGTCTTACAAACTTGCCGAAGAACATACTCGGTGCCCTGATACATCGCCACACGTCAAAACAACACCCGCCATCTCTTTCGTCTCAGAAGATTTAGGGAAAGGTATGACGCATACGGACAGGATATGCTCCAGGTTTCGGCGAACAACAAAGTCAATGTGATTGATTGAGCTGTCCTTCGGGAGTCCATGCAGTTGTGTATCTCTCGTCGATGAAGTATATCTCATCAAACGATCAATGAAGCCTTTGGATTGCTCTTCCTCCATATCTTTGGGTGGTTTAATGTGGTCCGAAAGACGGAACGCAGTGAACGACACTGATGCAAGATGCTTGCTTACATCTGCCCAGGCCGGTGGAATTAGGAAGCTGTCCCATTTAGCTTTCGATCTGGTCAAATGTGTCATCTTATAAGCAGTAACGACTTCGAACAAACCATTCTGCTTCAAAGATTTGACGGACAGCTCCGTGACACCGTCACCGTGACGGCTGTCATTTCCAGTCTCCCATCGGACAGCTTTGCCATCTAGGAAAATAGATACCACCACTGCGACTGCATCTGGTTGCTCGGGCGCTGGGGATGGCGGAGCTGATGAATCCATGGCCTTTGTTCCAATCTGGCTGACTGTTGTTGACCTTGAGTTTGGACGAAAAGCTTCTGGATCATCCTTTTCGTCTTTGTTCACTGTTCCGTGCTTGAAAGGATGAACCAAAACCCACCCATAGCCGTTTGGGCCCAGTGTTTGCAATTGGTCGTGCTTTCCTTCGTTTTCATTGAATCGGAAAGACCTGTCCAGATAATCCAAGTCTCGAATGTGGATGCCCCTCGCGAATCGAATCGGGACATCTACCTCATCTACCCCGTTGTTCGCGATGATACACTGTTGTAAGACCGTCTTCTCGTGGACCATCCACTGCATAGTGACTTTAAGATTTCCGTCATCAAACTCGTACCGTGGCCATCTGTCATGGACGTAGCCTACAGCCTGGCATTTCTCGGGGGTTATGTTGGGTACTCGGAGTCCGTAGATAAGTTCCTCTCGGTCCCGATCTTGCCGCATCTTCAGCAACTGCTCAGCCCTATCCCGTACCCAATACGGCTCATCTATGATGCGATGGTCTGCAGAGAATACACCGGAGTGACCAACGCCCAGAAAGCTGCTGAATTGCATCAGGTCACCGTATGCATTGACCGTAGCCGTGACTCCATCGTCTCCAAAGGAAGCATCACACTCTGGGTTTGGGGCGCTGGACCAATTGCTGACTTGGTCTTTCTTCGGCTGGAACACTTCGTGCTTCAGTTTGGGATCTCGGGGTGGGCCTGATCAGTGTAAGTTGGTCAACTTGCAATCTTGGGCAGGCCGCACAAACTCACGATTGATGCAGCTCTGGAAGAGATCGCTGTCCTCTGCTGGAACATCATCGGCCTCCCAGAAGAATTGTGGTTCCGGGATGACAGGCTCGTCTGAAGCTAATGTTGGACGCCCGCTCTCATGGTCCGACATATCTGCGGCCTGTAGAGAAGGCTTCACCTCGTCGTCTGACTACTTGGTTGAGCGAATTTGCTTCCAGAGTCTGGGCGGGGTCAGGTCTCAATTATATGCACGCTGCCGAGTCTGGTACGCATTGAAGACAAGGGTGTGAGAGACATTTCCCAACCGAGTCCTCCCATCCGTGGTTGGCTGTATCTTTTGAGCGTCGCGCGCGAATATCAGTCACGAGGCTATTTCCGCTCTGAGCTGCTGACTGCATGTCGCTTGCGCCACATCACTGGGAGAAGGTGTGGGTGACGGCAAGGCTGTGGCAGAAGCTGGGAAGTCCAAATGTCTGCCCTCACCAGACCTCAAGTTGTTCGCTTTAAACACTCTCATGGTGGCTTCTCATCAATTTCTTTCGATAGCCGATCTTCGTCGTCACCACATTTTTGAGAAGAGGATTTATACCAATCAGAAATACGATACAAGGTTATAGAGCAGACCCAAAAAGCTTCCAGAAACAACACCATCGTGCTGTCGAGTCGAGTCTCGGTCAGTAAGGCTCTGGTAACATTCCAGGGGTGGGCGCGTCAAGTGTAGACTGATATCACTTCTCATACTGACACTTGTGAAGCGACCAAATAGTTGCCCCAATACTACCAGATGCTGACGGTGAAACAGACTGTACCAGTAGCCTTGCGTTTTGCGGCTCAGAAGTCTCGTTTTCCTAGGCGCGGCAGAGCGTGCTCCCAAGATGGATGGTGCAATCCTGTGAGAAGGCTGTGGTTGCAAGTGGGAGCCAAGCCTCGGGTTGTTCCAAATTTCTAGTGAATGCGCATGCTATCTCAAATACCTGAGGCTAAATCCTGCTGAAGAAATTTGATGCTATCATTTGTCCCATTCCGCTACTTTCCAGGCACTTCAATGTCGGGCTCAAGATTTGACGAACCGGGCTTGGTGCTCCCTTTCTCACAAGAAATCCCGTCGCTCGTAGCACAGGAATAACAGTTCACCCTAATCGGTATAAAAGCTTGCTCCACGCTATCTTGACGAGCCTGCCAAGACATCGCGGGGCGAGAAAGAAATTCCTGAGATGTACAACGAGTCTTTTGGTCGGGCACGTCATGAGCGGCGACGCTCTAGATCATGTCCGAATGGCTGCTAAAATAGAGAGGCCCTCGTACCATTCAGTCATTCAGCCTTCTACTCATATTCCGGGCTGAATATGCTACGAAGTTTGAGAGGAGACTTTGGAAGCTTAAGGGGTTTTGATATGTCTCATCCGTGATTCATCAGGAGTGTAAGCGCATTCTCCCACTGTCTGCCGTGTCAGGCTTCATAATGGCTCAAGCCTGTTAACCGCCATGTTAGGCTTCCACGCTGCTGAATACATCAAGCGTGTCTCTCGCCTGGAATCGGTGATGATGGTTTTATAAGTACGCGGTATTGTTTGTAGACAAAGAATACATGAAGGTTGCTGCGGCCTGCTCTGCTCTTCTAAACAGATGGCAGCAACACAGCATTGATAGGAGAAAGGAAATCCATTTTTTCAACCGCTTCAGTACATCCATCTGTTGAGAGCACCCTATCAGTAAGAACCCATACCTTCTGAAGATCAGATACATGTAACGACATCCGATAGTTTATCTACCAAAATGACCTCGCATCGCTCCGCCAACGTGATATCGTACACACATCAAACACGAAAGGACTCAATCCTCCAATACACGAAATCCTCCAACACCGCATCCTCCCACAACAATCAAGGCGGCACCCACCCAAGCTCCTCAATAGGCCACTGAATCCAAAGCCGATGATCCTGATCCAGCACAGCCCATGCCCTCGAGATCAAATGCGTAGCCCACCCCTGAAGCCACCACTCATTCTCCAACCTCTTTAGCAAAATACAAAAATGCGAAAAAATCGCCACAGCCTCCTGCGTGTGCCCGGGACTCTTTAACAGCGGCAAGAAATCCTCCGCCATGAGATACTTCCACACAAACGCATCCGTGATATCCATGCCCCTCCCGCCGTCCCACAGAAACACGCTCAGCGTCCGCCGCAGCTCGTCGATGGCGCGGTTGTAGATCGGCAGCAGCGCGGCGTCGGCGCAGGTTTTGTTCACGAGGCGCTGGAGGTCCGCGAGGAGGTCGGACTGGATCTTGGACTCGTCGCGGGTGTGCATGTAGCGCTCGCGGCCGTGGTTGAACATTGGTGTCAGCGGGCCGGCGTAGGTGTGCGGGTCGAGTTCTTTGAGGAGGGAGCGGGTGCCGCGGAGGAGGAAGAGCCAGTCTGGGAAGGAGGATTCGCCCATGATGAGGGAGTCTGAGGATTTGCGTGGGCAGGCGAGGGCTTTTCGGTGAGGTGTTAGTCCTAATTCCTGTATGTTTTTGTGAAATAGGAGTAAAAGGGGGGGGGGGGGGGGAAACAAAACGTACCAAAAAATATGGTCAACACCGAAAACAGATACAACTTTTCACAATTCTCCCCGTCCAGCGCACCCATCAACCCCATGGCCGTACGGCTCGCCATCTGGTGATACGTCAGGGCCCGACTGATGAAGAAATCCCGCCTCTCGGGCCTGTTGTGCGCGAGGTGCAGCGCCGACACGCTCAGCAGCGCGCGCATGACGTAGTCGCACTCGAGCGCCAGCCGGACGACGGGCACCTTCCACATCTGCCGCACCACGGGGTCCGTCGAGAGCGTGTTGAAGGCGAAGGTGGTGAAGTTGTGCATGAGTTCCAGGTCGATGAGGTTGAGGGAGAGGTCGTCGATGCCTCCGCCATTGCCGAGGCTGAGGCCACCACCACCGGCTCCGGCCCCGATGCCGTCGCCGTTGACGGGCCCTCCCGGGGTCGAGAGGCTGCCAGGCGAGCACGGGACGGATGAGGAGGAGTGCCGTTGGGACTGGAGGAAGTCGCAGGGGACGGCATGTTTGATGCAGTTCCTACATGAGGGTTTGTGTTCATCGCACTGTGGGGGAGGGGTGTTTGTTAGTTTGTCTCAGTGCTTGGGGTCTTTGATTGTGTAACAATAATGACATTGAGTAAGAGGGTATAGACAAGAAATCGATAAGACATGAGATTGAGGGAAATGAAATGAGATGTGATGGTGGCATCAATGAGAGTGTGTGAGAAAGGAAAAGGGGTGGGTGTATGCCACACTCCACGGAACACCAACACCTAAGCAGAAAGAAAACACTCGTAGCAAACGACTTGCAACACATAGAATGAAATACAAAAAACTCACTTTAATCTTTCGGTTCTTACACGTCCTACACCCCGTCCTCGACTTGGGATGCGACCGTCTCGAGACAACAGTCGCGCCAGTATTCGCCGTAGCAGCACCAGGAGTAGTTGTAGTAGTACCACCAGGCGTGCTCCCCCTCCCAGCACCCGAAGCCGAGACGGTCGTACTCGTCGTAGACGAACCACCAACGCTGCTGCTCGCCGCAGAAATACTCCCCAACGGCATCGCAACGCTAGGCGACTTGGTGGTGGTATGTGTACCACCGGCAGCAGTCACCCCAACACCACTGTGAGGCGTCGTCGCCGTAGCCGTCGGCGTCGAACCCGGCGCCGAGGACGAGCCGCCGGACCCATCCATCGGGCTGTCCATCATTTACCGTACCGTGCCGGGTTATGCGGCAGCCCAGCCCGTTCGGTCAGCGGCACGCAACTCTCACACACAACAGCCAACCAAGCCAACTAGCCAGCAGTCTCCCCCCCTGGGACGCCTAGGCCGCCGCCGCCCCGGAGTAGGTAAGCAAAGGGAATGGAGAGGGGCCGGTCACAACTCGTGTGGCGATCGGCGGGTGCGCGCGGCGGTGGCGGAACCACGGTTCGAAATGCAAGAGTATGACCGAAGCCTGCGCAAATTCGGCAAAGACTGGCTCGGGGCAGAAAAACAACGGGGACGCGGATGTTGGCAACAGAATGGTGGCATGAAAGGAAGAGGAAGGAAACCAGTTTCGAGGGACGTGGTTGGCGGCGGCCTCGTTTTTCTCGGATGCAAGGGCTACGGGGTTCCGAATACGAGAAGGTTGTTGAGTGAGGTGTACCCGTGGTTTCGCAAGTAAGAAGAGCGGGGATTGGCTAAGCCCCGTGCGGGCCGAAAGTCAGGTCCTCTCTGCTGCTATAAAGAGGTGGACGCTTCCGTCTATGTTCTAGATTAGCAAAGATGATAGAACTACTAATTAGTCCTAGGTCACCGAGGCTCTGGTACTGGCACGGACTGGCATACCTTCCTCAGATCACAGAGAGAGGCCCTAGGCTCGATAGCGGCGCTCGAGTTTGTCGAATTTCACGTCAAAAGCTGCAACGTTCATTGATCCATTCCATTGAGACGATCTATCAGCGCTGTCTGCTCGCCTTCTACTCATGCTTTCTGTTGAGACCCAGGCAACACGCTTGTCTCCCTTGGCCCCTCATCTCTTCCGTTGCCTCTCCACGATTGAGCCACCGAGATGTCGCGGGCTATACCTTTCCTCTAAATTACCATTCTTCCCCTACGGTGACTAAACAACTATGCAATGTGACCGAAACCATTAGCAAAAAGATTCCCATGCCGCCGCCATGATGGGATGAACGAAGCATTTTCTCGTCCCGCGTAAGTCAGAAGGGGGTGTCAAGGATATCCGCGTCGATTGAAATTGGAAGTTTTCATGAGTACGTCGTGTGAATGGTTGATGAGGAGTAGGGAATTCGTTCGAGAAGTCGAACGTGATGTCTCTTTTGCTTGCTTTCGCCCACGTCGGGAAGTGTTGCACGATACCGCCAGTTCCAAAATAAACGCCACTAATCGTCAATGGCATCCGCTCCTCAGCGCTGACCGCTGTGGGCTACACCGCCCGTGCTGTGCTTGCCAACTTATTTGGCGTGCTTCTTGAAGGCAAGAAGCTCAGACAGGCTGCCCAGCGGGCATCCGTGCTTGAGGAAGTCGTGCTGAAGAAGCTCGTCGGCAGAGGCTCTGCTCTTGACGTCTACGCACAAGCAGACCGACAGGAAAGCCTTGAGCTCCTTGCTCAACTTCTCGGGCTTCTTGAGGCGCGGGGTTCCGTTGGTAGCGATCAGGTAAAGAGCCTTGAGGGGCTCCTCGTTCAGGTAAGGCGGCTCAGATTCTATCATCTCAATAGCCATGATACCCAGAGACCAGATATCAACCTTGGGGCCGTACTCCTTCTGCTTGACAACTTCAGGGGCCATCCAGTAGGGCGTTCCGACCATGGTCGCACGCTTCGACTTGGTCTCGGTGAGCTTGGCGCAGAAACCGAAATCGGCTATACACTTGGTTAGTAGGTGCGCAACGACGGGTATTGCGATTCACTTACTAATCTTGACATTGCCACGAGCGTCCAGAAGAACGTTGTCACTCTTGATATCGCGGTGAATAATGTTTTGGGAGTGGAGATGTTGCAGACCACGGCATGTCTAGATCCAGTTAGTATTGACCCGCTGGTGTCACAGATGAGTGAGTCTCTTACCTCCAAGCAAATTGTGGAAATCTGCTCCTCAGTGATGCTGGGGTTGTTATCAATCACATCCGTCAGAGCGCCACCCTCCATGTACTCCATAACGACCCAGAGCTCAGCGTTGTTGTTTCGCAAGAAGGCGTCCAAGAAGTTGACAATGTTGCGATGCCTGCTGTCCTTCATGACCATAATCTCGTTCACAATCAGCTCTTTCCTGGGCTGGTGAGCAAGATCCATCTGCTTAATGGCAACTTGAGCCTTGATGCCCTGAGCACGCAGGACATCACGGGCAATGGGCGAAACAGCGGTTTCCTTGACCTTGGCAACGTAGACTGAACCCGAAGCACCCTGTCCAATCTTCTTTTGCTTGGAGTAGGAAAGGTTGGGGTCGTCCTTGGATACGGCCTCCTTGAGCTTGGCCATAACCTCTGTTTCGGACATGGTGGACATGCGCACGTCTTGCTTGCGTTCTTGCGCAGGTGGCTTGGCAGTGAGAGCTGCCTCGGCGGCCTTGACGCCATCGCTTTGAGGGGCGGCGGGCTGGGCCTTGGACACGTTCAAAGGCTTGACAGGAGCGGGCAGGCGAGACGGTGGCGGAGCCTGAGCCTGAGGGGGTTGCCTCTGCTGCTGGGGGCTGCCGTTGGGATACCGTTGCTGCTGGCTCGAGGGCTGGTCTTGCCGAGGCATGCGCTGGCCCTGGTTAGGATCTCGCATGGAACTGGAGCTTTGTTGCGAAGTCATCGGGGGACGGTTGGGCGTGCCCGCGGTGGTGGGCGGCGATGGTGCCGGGCGCTGCGCACGCAGGCCATTGACTTGCTGCTGCTGTGAGGGCTTGGGTGCTGGGGGGGCTGCCCTCGAAGGATTGTATCTGTCTGTTTGTGGGATGGAAGAGCTGCCGCCGTAGCCACCAATCTCTTGTTGGGCCATGGGCGTCTTGGTTTTGGGGATGGAAGCGTTGAATACTTCTAGGTCCCGCCGATTTTGCTCCTCAATCTCCCTTTCTCGGGCACGCTGCGCCTCAAGCTGCTTCATGCGCTGCTCCTCGCGAGGATCCGGCTGGTAGTTGGGAGCCATACCCTGCATTTGCTGGCGCTGCTGCTGCTGTTCCGTGGGCGAAGGCCGGCGCTGTTGGCCTTGCGATGACGACTGGGTGTTGTAGCTGGGCTGACGCTGGGCCTGAGAAGGCGGCATAGGCCTAGGCGGCGCAACTCCTGCACCGCCGCCGCCATAACCAAGCTGTTTGTTCTGCTGGCTGGTGGCGGGAGGCGTAGGTGTGAGGCTCGAGTATTGCTGGGGGTTCTCGGCGCGCTTGGTCAGGTCTGAGTAGAAGTCGAGGACCTCAAAGACAGCCTGGGGGTTACGCTCGTAATCCTCCTTTGTGATGGCGGATGAGTTGAGGAGCTTCGACCATTCGGGTGGCAAGCCGACAAACTCGCCAGTCTGGGGGTCGAAACCAACGTGGACTGCATGAGAGAAGTTGGTGGGGTTGCTGACACCGCCCATGCCAGGGCAGGCGCCGTAAATAAGATCAATCCATTCGTACAAGTCGTCGTCGCTCTTGACACGAATTTGCAACGTCTTGGTCTGGCCATCGTCCTCGCCGGGGCTGTTTGATGAGCCGCTAGGGTTTCTCTTAATTTCGAAAATGGTGCCAGCGGCCTCGACTCGGCCGACGTTGACGACGTCTTTCAGGAAGAGGGTATACGCGACCTTGCCACCCTCAGTCTTGTGGAAGTCGAGCGACTCTTTTCGCAGGATGAGGTATTTCTGCTTCCACGGGTTGATAAAGTTCTTGGACTCCTTCACGGAAGCCCAACCCTCCTTCTTGACAGCGACGCCTCCCATGCCATCGTTCTGATTGCTCTGTTGGCGGGCGATGGGGAGGGAGATTGTGGAGCCGGTGTAGGTCGAAGTCGCCGTGCTCCGGATAGGAGAAATAGCCATGTTGGCCATGCTGCCGGGTAGGGTATTGCTTGGGGTGAGGGCGAGACGGGGTCGATCGGTAGGCGGTCGTGGCGCCGGGCCTGGGTTCATGAACTGGCCGGACGAGTACACACTGCGTTCGTTAGCCATGATTGCTGCGCAGCGTGGGCGACGGCGGCGGGCGGCGAGGTCTGCATGCGACGAAGAAGTGGGAATGAAATGAGAGAGAGTCGAGGTGGTGGTGGCGACAATCAAACAGCGACGAAAAGCAGCAGAAGGTGCGTCGCCGACTGAACGAAGATGATGCTGATCAGGGAAAAGGGGGATTTTTTTGCCGGGAAACAAGGTAGTGGACGGGACAGAAGAGGAGAATAAGATGTGGAATGGGAAGGACAGCGCAATTAGGAGGCTGTTGGTGGTTGACAATCGGTGAGGTGCGCCATGACAGATCGAGACGAAATGAACCCCACTTCTAGCCTCGCTGAAGGAGTCGAGTCGCAGCGCTGGGGACAGAGGAGAGCGGTGCGCAGTGAGTGAGTGAGTGTGTGTGTGTTGGCTGATTGATGCACATGCACGTACAGAGTACCTTGGACACACACACACACACACACACACACACCGTACGTTTATCCGTACCGTACACGCAAGGAAACAACACACTTGAATTGCTTGTGCTCGTGCTTGTATACTTTAAGCTGCTAAGGTGAGGAAGAAGGCATTGTTACTGCAGGGCAACTTGCTGGTACTGCTCGTGCAGCTTCTGCTTCCTTCTACCGCTTGCCACAGCCGCCGCTTGCTGCAAATTGCCTTGCAGAGGGCCTAAACTGCGGGTGCAGACTGCAGTAGTGGTGGGTGGAGGAGGGGGATGAGTGAGTTGGGATGGGACGGATGGGGAATATGCGTGTGTGGTGCAGACAAGACGCATTAGGCAGGAAAAGGCTGGCTGGACCAAGGAAGCAAGTAACAGGTAGTACATACAATGCAGGGCTGGACCACGAGGATCAAGAGAGACGAGGGAGGCGTACGTATCGATGGGATGGCGATGATGGACGACGACAATGACGAAGAAGGAAACCGGAGGAACCAAGCAAGACCAAGCAAGGCAAGGAGAAGCAGTTGCAGAAACAAAAAGCAGAAGCAGAGTGGGAGAGCGAGAAAGCGTGAGAGAGGAAGATGCTTACCGATTCTGCGTCGCCATTTCTCTCTCTCTCTCACACACACATACGCAAACAAACACTTCCTCGGTCTCTCTCTTCTTTTCTTCCGTCCGGGACGGGGCAGGGAAAAGGGTCGAGGGATTACAGTTTTAATAAGAGGCGAGTGTTTCTGTGGCTGTCCTCGGATGCGAGCCCCCGGGTAATGGCTTAAGGTATGGAACACGCGATGTTTCGTAGATTTGGGCGACACTCTGTACGGAGTACTCGTGCGGCGTGCCTCCTGGGAGTCCTGACTGTGTGAGCCTGTGAGGTGCTCCGCTTCTCTGCTTGAGGTTGCCTGTCTCTGCTGCCGCCGCAGTGGGCTGTCGACTGTCGATTGTGGATAACGGGTTCAAGGTTGCAGGCCAAGGCCCCTCCTGGTTGGGCTGGCTTTGCGTTTGGGTTTGGCTGCTGGTTCGGACGTCCAGCAAGCAACCTGGGTTGTTGCCGGGTATCTCTTGGAATGAAGGAAGCAACAGGGGCATGTAACTGAGTAGACTCTCACTCGTCGGGAAGTAAGGTACTCTGTGGAGAATCCGCAGGTAGGTGGTGGTGGTATCCTCTATCCGCCTGTGCCCCCTGGAAGAAGACAGCCGTCGGGCTTCCAGAAGTTTTGCAAAAGAGTTTTGAGAGAATCGTACGGATATCCAACAATGGGGCCTGCAGTCTCGTATGCCGTGATGAGTGGGATATTGTTCTGCCAGCGAGATTGCAAAGGGCAGAGGAGACGGGTTGAAAGAAAGGAGGCAGCAAGCAAGCGAGCAAACAAGAGAGATTCAAGGACTCGAGAGTCGAGCCGGATGGGGGTGAGATTTCCGTTTCGAGGCCGGGTGGTTTTAGGAGGGGGTGGGCGGAATCCGTTGGTCGAAGAGGGGAGAAGCTGGGATTGACTCTGGCTTTGCTTCTGTCACCGGCTCTGGCTCTGGCGGGTATGGGGCACCACGCCCTGGACGCACCCTTCTTTGTCGCGGTCGATCAGCCGAAAGGAGGGAGGGGGAGGGGGAGAGGAGTTGTATGTGTCCCGTCGAGTGCAGTCGTGAAAGGCTCTTGCGAGTGCGCGGAGTGTCAGCAAACCAAAGACAGATGATAGATACTCTCGAGATGGTTTGTCTCACGTTCAAGAGACAATCTCTCTCTGCTTCGTTTTCAACCTCGATGTCTTTGACCTCAGCAAAGACGAAGGGATATTGACGACTGCAGGGGAATAGACCTGTGTATCCGTCTAGAGTATTCGAACAAGCAGGATATATTACTGTGGTAGACCGGGGTTTGGGCAGGCTGGAAAGGCCAAGGCGTGATGTGTCGATGCTATTCGGGGAAACGACGTAGGGCGTCAAGGGGTCCTTTTTGTGAATCGAATCGTCTCCGTGTCTGTCTCGGTCTATTTTCATCAGGCGCCGAGGCACTGACGGTCAAGTTCTGGCCTGTCAGACGGTACGGTGATCTGACGGACTTACAGGCGCGAAGATGATGTATGGATTGGAAAGAGTCAGTCGAGGATTTCGGCTGTCTGCTGTGTCTCCGCTGTTCACGGTAGAGTTTGCAGATGCGGAAATGACAAGAGGGTCAACAGGCAGGAACACTAGGAGAATTACTAAGTCTCCGTTCCTTCCATGTTAAAAGTTTTCCTTCTTCCTTCCACCTCTAATACGTTAGGTCAAGGCAGGAAGGCCATGTACCTTAATTACTGCCTTCCTCCAATTCTCTCAGGCTGCACATTATTCTGCAGCAGGGCTTCTGGCAGGCGCCTGTCCGACCTCTCCTTCCCATCTCACACATCAAACCTCAACTAGCGCCAGGCATCTTTTTGGGGGAGGGGAAGGTGCCAGGGGTCGATGTAGTCAAAGTGTCGAAAAGAAGGAACGACCGACTTCCTATTTGCCGCCCCGATACTTCGTACCGTGACCCAAGGTGCCTTCCTCCAGTTAGGTTGCATGGTAACTACCTTACCTTAGGTAGCACGGAAGGTAGTTGAGGGAAGGCAGTACCTTGCACTACACAGTAGACCTCCCGCGTGGGTCGACGAATCAGGAGACGATGCAGTACGTCGGGTCGTAGGTAAGGTAGTCTCGCCGGTGGGGAAGGGGGCCGACACTTGACTGAGCTTCTGAAGTTGACACTCGATTCTCGACCTTCCAAAGGCCCTGCAACCTACACAAGTCCGTCAACCTTTTTCCCCTTCCAAGGCCCGCCCTGGTTCAGATCAAGAGCACAAAAGTATCGCCAATGATCTCTGTCGCTGGTTGGGCAAACATACGGTGCCTGTTGGTTACCCCCTGAGCTATTGCGACTTTTCTCTCTACCCGTACCACACTGCTCATTAGACTGGCACGCCGTCTCGACGATCTCACCCTGACCGCAACTGGCGCTGAATCCTCTGGATGCAGCTTCCGTGTCATCATATCCTTTCCATCTGCACACTACCTTAATTTTCACAATGTCGTCGAAGACGTGAAGCCGCAGATAATTTCCGAATGGCATATAACGGCATGTTCGTACCAAAGGCTCAAAACACGCCTTCACAGCAGCCGATACTGAGAATGGAAGTTACAACCTCGCGCTACATGGTGAGACGTCATAGCGGGGTGGAAGCGAAGAATCTCCCAAAATGCCCCAGCTGAGGTCCTTCAAGTTGCCCGCTGGCTCGTTTCCAATAAAGAAGCACTGTGCAAGGGACATGAAGGTCCCGCCCACTGTCGACCAGCATACCCAGTGACCCAGAGGAAGAACCAGAAACCCACGGATACTCCACGTTTGTTGTGTGGTTTGGTACGTGACCGCACTCCGTACGTTAGTACCTTACCTACTGACCAAGTAAGATGGCTGATGCTGGCGTCGCATGGGCATGGGCGCTGGAAGCAGGAACCGAACAGGATGATGGGCCGTGGAAGAATTGGGAATGGCGTCGTTGGCTTCCACACTCACAGCTATGAAGTAAAAGTGTATTGACACGCTTCTTCGCTCCCGATTGCTTCCATGCAGAACAAGATCCACCCTTCGGAGGAACAGTACTCCTTCTGCAACTTCGTCCCTTCTCGTTTCCAACAGCCTGCAACGAGTCCGCACGACACTACGCCGCTATCGAAGACCGACGCGTTTACTGTTGCCCCTCTATGTGTACGGTGTACCCCTCGATCTGACCTTGCGCCTGAGAGTCTCCGTCTCAGACGCAATCTACATGGATACTAGACTTCCCAACCGAGCAACACATCGTCGTCCCGTCTCCTCTGGCAGACCTCATGACACCAAGCCTGACTCTCTTCGCCTCGTCTCGGTTCATCGGTAACTTGATGAACACCTTATCAACGGCAACTCTACGACGCAATATGATGCGCACACAACGTCAAGATCCGTTGGCCCCCCCATGAAGGAAACCCAATGCCCAAGCATCCACCATTTCAGTAGACGGACGCAGAAACAAGAAATTGCCGCAATCGGAAGCGACGAGCGACAAGCCTACCGCAGCTTGCATCGCACGTGCGATGCGAGGACTGCCAGCGATTAGAGGCACGGCCTTGTCATCTTGTCATCTATCACAGCTTAGGCTGGCATTCCACAGGCTAAGAAAGCCGCCGTTCGTCGTCCAGTCTCGACAGGGAAAGTGCTGCCAATTTTCACTTCCTCTCATACAAAGACCCAGCGAGTCGCAACCGACTGCAGCCATCAACACGCAGCCACTGGTCGACGCCTCGAAACTTGACAAGACTAGAACATTTGTGGCTGGTATACCCGACGGCACATTGCATACCCTAAAGGCAATGCTGGAAACATCTAAACCCTTTTCGAATCTTGTAATTCAAGACCAGCAGCAAGTTGCCTACCAGTGCTCATTGCTCAAGCACGCCAGCTGCACTCCGATTATTGATCATCCTCATGCTACCCACCATCGCCATACCGGTGCTCACACAAACACAGCGGACAGCAATCTGTTGATGTTTCGGATTTCTGCCGTCGCTGCATCGAAGATATGCAGCGCCTTCACGTTTAGGGTATTCCATAGCAACAGGAGTCTTTGGTGTCTCACGGCCTAAGAGACGTTTTGCCCTCACCTCCTTCCAGTCTAGACACGGGTCTGATGGGATCAATGTTGCCATTTGGTTCTCACGAGCAGTGGCATGCGAAGCATGTATTCCGCACCAACGATTCAATCCGGGTGCTCGGAAAACAAAGGTAGCTGCAGCTGAGCCGCAGGACAATTGGAACGCAGCTCAGCACAGGTTGAAAAACAGGTTCTCAGTCACAGTGCGGAATGGCAAACCTGGCATCCCATACGAACACTCTCAAGTCTCAAATCGGCATCGCCCGAATCGAAGCAGCCTAGGACCCTGTTTTGAAGTTTCCCATGGTTTGGTCCCCCACAGCCGCCCGAGGCCCAAAACATCCACAGACCTTCAATTTGGGGTGTGCTCGAAAGCGGCTGGCTATCTACGATCCACCAAAGACGGAGGAACGTGCCTCGCTTTTGCAGCGACGCCTCCTGTCAACGACTCGCCCATCCCACGGCGACGGCCGTGGAGTGTTTCACATACCGTGGAATCTTCCATTGCATTTTCCATCCCAGCACGGCACAAGAGGGAGGCAGCCTGCGATGTTCTGCATACAACACAGACCTGCACATCATACCCGCACAAGACATAGACCAGGGCTGCATTTCGCATCGTCTGCACTGATGTTTCCAGATCTACTGCTTGGGTGCGACGCCATTGGCAGATCAACCATCCACCGTCCCGTGCACCCAAGAACAATGCTGGCCTTCGAACATGTTCTAAGCTCATCGGCGAGAAGACGGTGACTTTGGGCGTTGTCGCCGTGATCATTCTTCTTCTAACGACTTTTCCGGGGATTAGAACAATTAGATGTTCTATGTATTCGGTCGTATTGTGCGTCTACCGTCGCCTCTCAGTCTCCGGCCAAAGATCGAGCGAAACGGCCCGTGGACAAACTGCTCAGTTTTTGTTTCCAATACCGCGGATCTGTCGCAGGTTCAAGCCTCCGGTTTGCCCCCTTGACGTTGCCTCCCGAGTCGGAATAGCTGCCCTCGACCTGTTCTCCCCTTCTTTTTCTTCGATGCCAAGACGAAAGATATGAGATGCGATGAAAAGCGTGATGCACAACTTGCCCCTGAGCAGCACTCGGATTTCTTGTTTCTGCGGCTACCAAGGTGGTATAAGTCGGGCTCGCCGCCGCCGTGGCCGCATCAACGCGGTGAAGTGCCCGGCGCTCAACACGCTTGGCATCCGACGTCACATCAAAGTGTGCTTTGAAAATGTCACTTCAAGCAGCCGGCCTTCCGCTTCATGGGCTCGGTTGTATGCTTCTCCAAGCCCCTGGTCCAGACCCCTCGAGGTGTCATGCCATTCCCGTAGAGGGCATCCACGTCTGTACTAGCAGCGACTGTCGTGAAACCTAACCACTTGGCCGGACCGTCACCAGCTGGCCAACAGTCACCACCATCTCAACATGAACATTGTCCGAGTAGGTAGAGTTATTGACTCACTTCTACCCGCTCCAAGCTAAACAGCTTCAAAGTCAAGAAGTCCTTTTAACCTGTGAAATGGCGCGAGCAGGATGTCGCCTAAGGAGCTTCACTGCGCTTAGCGTGGGCTGCTCAAGTCGTCTCCTTGCATCACTTGGGCAAAGGGCGTCAGTCACCATGCTGACCCCGTACACCCGGCCCCTCTCGGGCCCGGGAATCCACTTTACGGGATATACTCCCGCTGGCCCGTCTCGGGTCGGTCACGTGCCACGTGACTAGACAATCTACACCGAGGCCTACTATCTGGCCCAGCTCGTATTCTTCGGCAATAAGAAAGAGAGAATACAGGGTAGAACATAAGGTAGGGAAAGCTGTCGCCTTTTCTTCCAAAGACGTGGCCATTTCGGAGTGAATGGTACAGATTGAACATTTTGCGTTTGACCAACTTACATATTTTCACCATTTTTTTGACAGCAGAGCATCTACAAACATGTAAATTCAAAGGAGCAGTTCGCTCACTCCCGACGGGAATCCAGTATTCGTGGAAGACAACCTGGAAACGCACCTCTCCTTTCGGACAACGCAGCGGCGGCACATTGGTAAGTATGCTCCAAGAACGAGAGCTGCTTGTGTCCAACGTATCGCCTCCCCTTTTCAATCTTTTTCCAGAACTTACAAGAGTGTGAGCTTGATTCACGACCCCCCCTTTTTCTTTTCTTTTTTTGATAAGTAGAAAAGAAAAGTGATTTAGAGGTTACATGATCTCTGCTGTAAGAGAAATCGAAACCTTACCAACTCTGGATCTAATATAAAAGATATATCTCAATATCTCATGGTAGCATAACACAGTTTTCTCAGTCTCTTCACCGAAAACCTGCGGGAGTGAAGTACGCAATTCCACTTGTAGCGGCCCCAAAAGAAGTCATGCTACACAGGATGCTTGCTCCCTTGAGTAGGTACATAACTCTCACCAGACACGAACGGAAA